AATAATTTCCTTCGAGTAAAAAAAAGGTACTAAGGTAAGAGTTTAAATTAGAGCATTGCATCAGCGTATAAAGAGAACCAAGCAGTCAATGAAGCAATATTTTCAGAACGTTACAATCAAAACCGAACTTTGGATTATGTATTTGTTACAATCAAATGTTCTCAGTAGGGGCGCGCCGTTATTCAGCAATTTCAAAACAATGTCTGAAATTATTTGACATTTTGATCCGACATTTATAACTGAACTTAGTTCTTTCAAGCTCGTGTATCAGCTACTTCAACCTTGCTTTTGCGAAAGCATTACCCATCAATCAGTTTCATAGCGTCTTCCGGATCTCATTATTTTGGTATCTTTATCACAATGCCCTATTCTTCATCTGCTCTCCTGCGATCCGGTAACCTTCCACAGTTTCACAACGAATCACTGTTGGAGCAACAGAGTGACTACGCTTCGTGATACTGATGGATATGTCACGTCATTTGTTTGAGTGACTTGGTGAATGTTTTTAGTTTATTTAATTTTAAATACACATTCACATTCTAGACAGAATATTTTAATTCATCAGAACTTCAGCACGAGAGATTTATACTAAAAGTTCGAGCGCTACAAAGTGCAATATTCTGCTCGTTTCTTCTGCCAACAATCTTCTTGAGATCGTCAGTCCATCTAACATCATCGATAGATCTTATATTGTCTTTAATTGAATAGGCTGCAATATCTGTTTTATGAAATAAAGTTTTAATTAGACTTCGTACTAGCCAAAAAAGTAATATCCATCCAAATTCAGAATCGTGGTGACTTTACACAGGCAGGACGCAGTCGCAGGCGCACCATTTCGAAACAAACGAGGCGAAATGCCACGAGCTTTTTAAGAGCGGTCAAGGACTAATAATGTAACAACCGAAAGGATATCAATGTATTTTGATATGACTATGATTAACACATACAGGGTGGCCAAAACAGTGAGGTCTAAAAGAAAAATTTAGATTCCTAGAAGGTGTACCTAAATCACCCCCATGTATACACCGTGTTACTTTGCATTCTTGCCATATTCACAGGGATAAAAGTAGGGAACGATACCTATTATTTACGATAAACAAAAGACTCCCATAAAGAAAGTACACTAAGATTTTGGTAAATTTGATTTTTCAGTACCAATTGGAATAAACCAATTTTGTCTCGCACGTTCTACAGGTGCAAGTGGAATAAACCTAGTGGGCGTGGCCTAGTTCTTATTAATCTGTTGTTTTATGGCTCTGGGTACCAGCCTTTTTATCCAGTCATAATAATTATTTTAAAATACTCTTCAGTTGATTTCAGATTTTCCTTTCTACTTTACGGGCTTAGGACCGTCAAAAATACGTAACAATTATTTGGGTTTTAATTAATTTATAACATTGTACCCTATTTTTACAAATTAATAAATAAAGTATGAAATGAAATCACCTTATTCACAATTAATTATTTATTTATAAGTTCCTACTTACAAAGTTTACGTACTGCGAAGCAAGTGTTCATAGTGTCCTTCTTTCTGATGAAGGCACAGTCTAGCACGGCGAAGCGTAGGTTTTTCGCTTTAGTTTTCGCAACACATAAACGTTTTGTCTCACAGTTTCACTAAAACAACCCTTTCATGTAACGTGTTTACACTGTTTATCTCTTCTGCGCATACCATTCGTTTCAAGTCACTCCAAAAATCCATTGGTGTCAGGTCCGAGGATCGTGGTGGCCAAGCTACTGGACCACTCGTCCAATCCACTGTTCACCAAACTTATTATTCGCGCACTTGACGTCCTTATTGTGGGGGAGCACCATCCTGCTGGTAGTAGAGCATTTGGTGTAACGCTAAGGGTACGTCATCAAGCATTTCGTCTAAGACGTCTTGCAGACACTCCAAGCACCATTTTGATTAAATTATTCGCTGTTTGAATACACTTCAGACATTTTTGTATTATTTATAACGTGATTTGTGATTGATGGATTTCTCAGTTTTTTACAAGTGTCAAAAAGACATTTTAAAGACAATAGATTGCAATAGATATTTAAAATACAATAAAAAGTAAAAAAGTCTTCATCGCCATCGCCAACAAGTGATGTGCATGCGTTACGATAATTAGTGATGTGTTTAACAGATTGTCGATAAAATAAAATACTCAAGATTAAAAAAAAAATTTTTCGGGCATTATTTTTTTACGGATTTGTGTTCAGTATCAGTAATATAGTAACCTCTGTAAATATGGCAAGAATGCAAAGTAACACCCTGTATAATACGATTGTGCTTAGTTTAGAAGATAGAGTTAATTTTGTGATATTTTAAAATTTTGTGACCTAGTAGGCTTTAAACATTTTTATCTTTTTTTTGGGTTGACTATTTTCAGATTTCTTTTCTTCTACAGAATCCTTATTAATTGCAGATGTTTGAAAAAAATAGTCACCTTCCTATCTTTGATTCAAGATACTAAAATTTTGCTAGAAACATTAAAATTATGCTTTTATCAGAACACTATCAAATTTTCAACTTAAAAGTTTAATTAAAAAAAAAGAACTTCCATAGGTCCAAAACCATTTTAAAATCTGCGCCGTTTCCTGAACATTCATAATAATAAAAAAAAATAATCCAATTCACTCTAAGAAAGTCAAAAACATGTAACGGAATCTCCGACTTACCACTTTAGTGGACCGATTACAGGAAATAGTGGCCCATTAAGTACATGTTTTTTTGTATTATTATGAATGTTCAGGAAACGGCGCAGTTTTTAAAATGGTTTTGGACCTATGGAAGTTCTTTTTTTTACCTAAACTTTTAAGTTGAAAATTTGATAATGTTCTGATAAAAGCATAATTTTAATGATTCTAGCAAAACTTTTGTATCTTGTATCAAAGATAGGAAGGTGATTATTTTTTTCAAACATCTGCAATTAATAACAAATCTGCCGAAAAAAATAAATCTGAAAAAAGTCAACCCAAAAAAAAGATAAAAATGTTTAAAGCCTACTAGGTCATAAAATTTTAAAATATCACAAAATTAACTCTGTCTCCTAAACTAAGCACAATCGTATCATATACATAGGGGTGATTTAGGTACACCTTGATGTAAGGAATCTAAATTTTTCTTTTAGACCTCACTGTTTTGGCCACCCTGTATACATTCGCTTAAGTAGGGGAGACCGAGGCAAGTTGTAACACAGGTGGGTTGTATCAAAGTCGGTTCAGACTGTTTATCAGACTGGAATTCGCTGCCTGCTGCTGTCTTTCCTGAACACTATAATCCGGGCTTTTTCAAGGCGAGAGTGATTAGGCACTTACAGGGCAGATATGTACTATCCTAGACTGCATCTTACTTAACACCAGGTACGATTCCGGTCAAATACCTGCCTTGTCCTGCATAAAAAAATCTAGCTAGCTACTTCGCGAATTCATTGCTCTTTTGACAATAGAGCTTGCGTGAAATTGTCAACTTCTTCTTCTTGTCGTGTTGATAACAAACCTACACACTGTCAGCTCAAAACTCTGCTACAGCTTTGCTAACTGTTATAGGCGCAGAGAAATGGGCTTTGTGACATCTCACCTCTGTTACAACTCTCCTCGGTCTCCCCTATAGGAGTGGTGTGACATTAGGCTAGTGAATACAGCATTTCGACTGCCCATTATTGCTATTGTTATAATACAACAGGTCATTAGTTTTAATTGTGTTTATAAACAAGAGATGTAGTCACAAAGGTTGTTTGATGTTAGATAAAGTATAATCTAATTGTAATCTTGCGACACGCGAAGTTAAGGCCTTGTTGTTACGTATGTCTGCTACATACATGTGCGTATTATTAATGGTATTGTAGAATACACTGTGTGTGGTCTCTCATCAAAGATCTGGAGGTGCCCGCGACTTCGTATGCGTGAAAATAGTTTAAATAATATTTCCCGTTTTTGCAACATTTTTCTTTGTTGCTCCGCCCCTATTGGCTGTAGAGTGATGTTATATAGCTAAAGTCTTCCTCAATAAGTGGGCTATCCAACACAAAATAGTTTTATCAAATTGGACACAATTAGTTCCTGAGATTGGCGCGTTCAAGCAAACAAACAAACTCTTCAGCTCTATTATTAGTATAGTAAAAGATCATTTATGGGTCTTATACATATAATTCTGGATTCATTGGCTTCCCTATCTGCAGTAACTTACCATAAATGGACGTGTATTAATACAAAGTAACTTAAGCTTGTAGATTGGAATCTTTTCCTTGATAAACGTTCTAAATAAAGTATTTCTAGGTTATTTCGCTGAGATTGTCACATACTTCATTAACTTCCTTTTTATTTTTTGTGACTAATTATAAACGTTATGCTTGACCTTTCCTCACAAACTCATTAACTGATCTCCTAGTTAGTATGAGAAAGTGATTGCTTGTGGTTGCTCTATAAGGAAAGCTCTATTAAACATCCTAGTATTAGATACGATTAGAATTTGATTTCTAATCTCATATACATACTTAAGACTCCCCATAGACTTTTATCTGCCAATATTTAGTCGAGCAGTAATCAGTATGATGAACATGTATGAATTTTACACCGATTTGGTATCGGCCGATTCTTCATAAAAATTAGAAGCCTACTAAAATAATCCTTGTCCAAATCCGTATTTCAACTGTCAAAACATGAAATTTGACAGTCCAGAGACGGATTTGGATTAGGATTGAATACGAAAACCAGCATAGGGGGACTATCGCCTATCTATCACGATAATCTTAGATTAAAAAAATTTTGTCGAATTTCGAAAAAGACCATCACTTTTATTAATACAGTTTTATTTCAGTAACATAAAATTAATTGAGTAGTGCGAAAACCTCGTCATTTAAATCGACGGTAACTTTAACCTTTAACTGTAATATATTTCATCAACTGTTAATATGCATAGGGGGACTATCGCCTATCTATCACGATAATCTTAGATTAAAAAAGTCTGCGTAAAAAAGAAATGTACTTAACTATGTTTCTTTTGTCCATAGAGTTTCCTAGCGGCTAACGCGAAATGCTGGTGGGCAGGGGCCCTGGCAGCCGCCACGGCAGAGCTCCGGTACGCGGGTTATGTGTCCCCCGGGGTGCTCCTGGTAGCCGGGGCCCCCAGGGCCCTCGAGACCGTCCGGGGGGCCTACGCGCGGTCCGTGCTGAAGCCGCCGGCTACTTACCTCATTTGCGGGCTGGGTAAGTCAATTTTAAAGATATCTCTAGAAAGAAAGAATCATTTATTACGATGTACGTCACTTAGTTAAGGACGAAAAAGGTATGCATAAAAAAAAAGACAGAAACAGCACATAAAACGTTACAAGGAAAAAGTGAACTAAGCAGTGCAACCCTGTCGCAACAGCGATGCCCTACGCAATGGGACCCGGCCCGCAGCATATGCCGTGGCCCACGGTGAGGAAAGCCACGACGCCGGTTTTCAGTATGCCCCATGCCGAGTGGAAGTCGCGGACACTGCACTGTCTTTTGTTTTTTAAGATCTTTCAATCGTCTTTTGTTTTATGTTTTGGTGATTCGTTCTATTGAGGCATTTACTCTTGCGTAATTAATATCTTTCGGCCGTCTTTTGTTTTAAGTGATTCGAGTCTATTAGATGGATGATTTATTAATGCGTACCTATGTAGTAATTATCTGACGACTGTCTTTTGTTCGCGTGGTTCTGATTTAGGATTTATTCTTGTTGTACTCGTATAATGCAGAATTGCAATAATATAGTACGAGAGCCCACGACCAAAATTTTTGTCTTATAGCAATACGGCCAAAACCGCATCAAATCGATAGATACGATTATCCTGAACTCGAAAATACCAATATCAGACATTTTCCGCGTAGCGTTTGATCTGACCGAATTTTCAAAATTGTCAAAGAATTTTACCGAACTGCATCATAGCAATATGTCTGATTTGCAGACTGTAGTTGAATGATAGTTCTGAGATACCGGAAACATTATTTTCAGACGTTAGTGGTGTAGCGTAAACCCGAAAAATCACTTAAAAAAAATTAAAATGAGACAAAAAAAATGTCTCATAGCAATACGTCTGAAAATCTTTTTATTAGTAAATTTTGGTTATTTGATGCGAACAAAACAATTTTCAGACGGAAATGTGAACGCATTAAATTTTGAGACCGTTTTGAAAATGTTAACAAATTTTACCGATCGATATCATAGCAATATGTCTGAAAATTGTTGGACATGATAAAATAAGTTGTCCACATGTGCAAAAAATTTATATCAGACAAATTAAGTGTAGCACCTTCTCTATCATACAACTTTTTGATACACTTAAAGTGTCTGAAAACAGGTTTTTGGTAATCATGGCAGCAATACGAAAAGTTGAAAAAATATTATCCGTATTGCTATGATACAGGTCGGCTAAATTTGTTGACATTTTCAAAAATGCGCACAGGCTATATGCTACGCGCAAAATGTCTGAAAACAAACTTTTTCGTAATACAGTTATAAAATCTATGTACATTTTCACTATCAGACGTATTGCTATAATACCGACTGTCTTTTTTTTTGACACAGCAGAAATGGCCTCTTACGCAGTTGCTACACTTTCGACAGTTACTACACACCTAGTCGGGTTCAGAATCACACAATCTAACGATTTTATAGGGTTTTTGCCGTATTGCTATGAGACATGGTTTTGGTCGTGGGCTCTCGTACTAATAGGTATAGTGAAAAGAGAGAAGAAAATTTTGTCGAATTTCGAAAAAGACCATCACTTTTATTAATACAGTTTTATTTCAGTAACATAAAATTAATTGAGTAGTGCGAAAACCTCGTCATTTAAATCGACGGTAACTTTAACCTTTAACTGTAATATATTTCATCAACTGTTAATGATTACCGACTATTTAAGTATCCGAATCTGACTTAATAAGCTTTTAGTGTTAAAATTTTCTTAATTGGTCTTTTAATTTTACTTACCGTAATATATTTTTATCATTAATGATGCGGCGTGTAAAATCCGATCTTAATGGGAATCGGCACCTTCACTCGATTTTAAGCCGGGACGCCTTAAAAGGAAGAAAAATGCCCATAAAATAAATGCCTGTGAATTAAAATGCCCATGTGAGGCCTTAAAATGGCCATATTGAGGGGAATTAATTGCGAGAACAAAGTAAACCGGTCTCATTATCCTTCTCGTGAACAATGCTCGTGCGCCGATCTTGTGCAGTAGGGGCGGCAATAGTAGTATTACCTACGATGCAGTTAAAAACTACACATGCTTAAAATGAGCAATGAGCATGAACAACTTTCGTCTTCGAATCGTTTGCGTATTCGACAAAATTTGATACTCAACCTTCGAATAATAAGTGGTGACTGAGTTTGTTCCGGCGTTTCTTCTCAGCACTTGCAATATGTTTGTCTCGAAGCGCTGGTAGGGCCCAAAACATAAGGAGACATGTAAAGTGCCCCATAAGGGCTACCTTTTCTTTTTTTATTATTTTCTATTGACGTTCATAAGTGCAACTTGTGGTCTAAACTGAATAAATATTTTTGATTTTGATTTTGAAATTAAACGATAACGTGACAATTTTGATTCTCAAAATAAGATTCGAGCAACCATTTCTCATACTAAGTTTACTTTCCGACATGTTCACAAGGGCGCAGTTGTAGTATCCGTACTCAATCTTTGATGGCGATTCGAATACGCAAACGATGCGAACTCGAAAGTTTGTCGTGCTAGCCGTACAGTACTCTGTTGGTTTACTAGAAAATAGATACCTACAGAAAAATAAATATGAAACTGAATAGAGTACTTCCTCTTTTTCATGAAGTCGATTAAAAAGTAGGTAACTTTATTTCAAACAAAAATACAGAGAAACATAAATATCTCGTCTTGAAGTTGCATTTTTTTAAACGCAATAATACTAGTAAAACGAAATAATGAACTTGAAAATGTAGAAATAGTTAAGTTAACGTTGGTATTAAGTTACCATTCAAATATAAACGAAATGTCTTAATTTTCATAGCACTAAGTGTTTTTGCAATAGTACTATCTAATAAGTATTGAATTTAATTGGTTTGCTAGGAAAAACATATTGAATCTTGAACGCGGCAGCCCTACCGCGGCGCATCTCCTACGCACTGCGCCCGCGCGGCCTTGCAAGGACGCGTTACATAACAAATAGTTGGCGGGCTCGCGATTGTTGTTTGCAATGCGTTATGTTGCGATGACAGGTGCATCCTACACGATACGCTGTTAGATGTAGCTAAATATGTATAAGATGACCTTATGGCATCATAATACAGGGTGGAAACGATAAGTGATCTCACTGGATTATTTCTAAACTACACAAGATATTGAAAATCTTGTTACTGATCCTGAAAGAGCTTCACGAGCTCTTTGTAACGGTATCAGTAATAGGTTACAGAATTAACTGGATTTATCCGAAAATTCAATGTTTTCAGCCTTCATACTAAATGTATGCCAGCCACACAATATGGAATGTGTATTTTTTTTTAATTAAATATAAACACTTAAAATGAACTCGTAAATTGCATTCTTATTTCAAATGATTCATGGAAAACATTGGTTCTAGGCTTTACTTGCTATAATATTATCAAGACATGAGTGCCATGACTGTGGCAGTACTAAATGTATGGAAGTTAGAAACATTGAATTTTCGGATAGATCCAGTTTATTTTGTAACTTATTGTTGGTACCATTGGATAGAGCTCGAGAAGCACTTTCAGGATCAGTAACCAGTTTTTAGATAGCTTGTACAGTTTTTAATATTAAGTGGTTTTACTAAATGTATGGAAGCTGGAAACATTGAATTTTCGGATAGATCCAGTTTATTTAGTAACCTATTATTGGTACTGTTAGATAGAGCTCGTGAAGCACTTTCAGGATCAGTAACCAGTTTTTCGATATCTTGCATAGTTTAGAAATAATCGAGTGAGATCACTTATCGTTTCCACCCTGTATAGTTAGTTAGTTTTGCAGGGCAATCGAATTCCGCACTTAGCCTCATGATTGGGCCATTGTGCGCGATTTGTGGTTTATCTTCCTACTCCAACCACCCCAGATCCCCCAGAAAGCAAGCAGCCTGTCTTGGCATTCTTTATTGTCTCTGGATAATTAGAGAGAGTCGTACAGTGGAGATTAATGACTAAAATGACCTAAGTAGGTTGTAAAAATTTAAGCCCCCTTATTATTGAAAAGTTACACCCGGAAAGAACACTGGATTTAAATGTTATTCCCATACTAAATTACCATTTAAACCAGAGTTCAACTAGGGTGTAACTTTTATTAATAAGAGCTTAGTTTTTAGGTAATTTTAAGTTTATGTAAATATATTATAAAATTATTGTTTATTGAATAAAACACTCGATATAAGAGCTTAGGGAAAGAGTGAATTTTCTCTTCTTGCTTTTCTCTCGATATCACTTATCCTTTACAAATAAAACAAAAATAATCGAACCCTATAATGTCTAAGAAGCTCTATCACGTTGGGAAAACCTGTAATGCTAAAGAGAAGGTTGTTAATATAATTTAAATGTCCAATAATTAATTATTTGTCGATCACAGCAATTACCATTCCTATTATCTCCTATATATATCTAGTCACAAAATAAAGATTAAGCAAAGAAACAGTTAACAGAAACAAATTACTATAAAATCACTAATAAAATTGAAGCAAAACAATACATACGGAACTCGTTGGATTGATGGAGCTTTTGTATAAAAGCTACAGCCTACTAGTTTATTATTTGCACCAACGGAACCCTATTATTTTAATGAGAGCTTTTACTCCTGCATCTACTTAAACTTCGCGGCAAGTTAAAGCTTGTTATGTGGCCGTCACTCACGGCACTCTTTAATTCGCAATAATTGCTTCCTCCTCGATACGACCTGACCTCTGACCTGATGACTCCGGCTGTCGAAGATGGCGGAGGCGACAGCTCGTCGTAACATGATTTATGGACAAATAATTGGTAATTACTTCGCGTAGTGGCGGCAAAATCAAGGGTCCCAGATTAGATTCCAGCCGGGCTAGGATGCGCGACGTGATAAAATCTTATCGATGATTTTAGACGACGAAAGTATGGGCTTATCGCGTAAAATAGATAAAATGGCGCGATAAAAGTTTATCACGGCGTCCAATCCAGGCCTACAGGTCGTAAATTTAAAAAGAAAATAAGGATAAGATTTGGAAGTTTAATATTTTGTACGCACAGGCGATGTCTTTATAACTTTTTTTTTCTTCCAACTCTATTTGAATGGGACTTGAGTAATAAAAATGTTTAATGTACATTGACAGTGGGTCCAGTTGCCGGAAGGGAAAAAATACAAAAACACAGTCAATCTGGTGATTGGAACCGCAAATCTAGTAACTATAAGTCAAGACTTATTTAGTGAGTAGCCTTTTAGGTGACAGCTTTTTCTTACTATAGGTTGATAGTTGATACATAGTTACTTGGACTACCATATCAGAACCAGAGCTTCCGTTTCTTACAAGCTAATAATCTTAACTCCCTACATAACCATAATATTTCAATCAGCGACTCATAAAAATCTCGAGAGTGCATAATAAACTAACTATTCTTCTTCTTAAACTTTTATTGTATTCAAATATACTTTTAAAACCCCATAAAACCGACATACTTCACATTTTTAGCCTCTATCCGTCATCAATATTCATAGCAGTCATTACAATAACATCATACTATGCCGACATTGACATTGTCAGCCTTGTAAGGCAACTAGTAAAATTCATATTCCAATGCCACCGCTCATCATCACTAATAACAGTCTAATGATGGTCCTTGAAATAGGCTCTCAAACTGTTAAAAATTATTATAAAATTCCTCTAAATATAAATCAAAAGTCATCAACGATTAGAGCCCTTACTAAGGCTAGGTTGCGCCATCTTACTTTAACTGTAACAAACGTCAAAAATCTGTGAAACTCCATACAAAAATCATCGGTTATCGTTATAGTTACGGTCAATATTTGGTGATGCAACTCAGCCTAAGAAACAAATATTAACTCAATTGAAACTAAAGTATGAAAATCGGAATTAGTACTGAGTTTTCAATGTCGATTCAGAAAATGAACACACGAATCTCCATTATAACATTGATGTAGTGGAATTTGAGTTTGTTGATCAGTGTTATAATAAAAAAATATTTGCACATTGTTGTGTCAAATGGGAGGTATTATAGAACCTTCTTTGAGAACCACTGGCTATATTTTATTAATTCTTATCCCTATTGCAATGCCAATAGTAATCTATTAATTTTCAAATAAGATTGATGACGTAGTTATACTTACCTGTAATGTATTCCAAGTTTTATATTTAATTGCGTACATGATTCGAATAAATATTATCCTGCTTTCGCCTCCGAGATTTATTTTACCATGTAGTACCCCTGTACGACAACCCAATCCGCACACAATATTCAGCGTAGTAGTATTAAAAAACAAAAGAGCGGGCAACCCCACCCCTACCACGCTGTGGGCTCGGTGTCCGAGCGGTCTCATTCCTTTGTGCGCACGCGCAACGACCGCACGCAGTATAAGAAAAATGCTTAAGTGACGTCACCAGGACGTTTTTACCGACAAAAAACGTAATTATTTTAAGTTGTGCAGTGTAGTGACGAGAATTAGACCCAACAAAAGGTTGGTTGTAACAACTATTTTGTGCAAGTGCTCGTACATTTTTATTATAAGCGTTGTGACACGACGCGTAACTTTGACCCATTTTTAGCTCCAAGTTAACGCGCGATGTTAACCAGTAGCCATTTTTTTGCTCCGAGGTAATGCGAGATGTTACCCAGTAGCCATTACGATTTAAATTTCAATAGGTAGACAAAATTCAGAATTCTTAATTATCAAAAATTTTAGCTTTCTCCAGTAACACTGGTATTATTATACTGTGACTCATCAAAGTCATCATTGTCAAAAATATTGACAAATCGAGAACTGTCACGGCCAAAAAACTGGCACGCGTCCGTCCTCCGTAAGCGCCACCGCGCGACTGATTGTGATTGTCCAAGCCGTCATGGGCGATTTTTTCCACATTTTTTAACATAGTAACTAAATAAGACGCAATATAAAAATTTCATCCGTTAAAAGCCCTCAAGTTATTTCTGAACTTTAGTTTAGTAAAAGATTCAGAATCTCAAATCGCTTATTTTAAAAATAAAACCGTTATTAGAAAACGAATAGAGGTAACTTTGGGAATTTATTCTATCGAGTCAACTTCATCAAATCGTGTTTCCATCCGTTAATAGCCCTAGAAAATATCCTCAACTATGCCCAAAAAAAATCTTAGCCTTTTATTTTACTGTTTAGTACCTTAAAAATGAAAAATGAAATCCTCATTTTCGCCATTTTCTCTGTTACCCGGCCTTAAGCAAGAGTCGGGGCGTTTGGCTGACTTGATGAAATCGCTTCTTCCTACTTAGAACTGATACCTTTTTGGCTATGCTTGATCATATTATTATAAACTTACCCTCTCCTCATGATGTAGCCGTAGAAAGAGTTGAGGATGCATTTATGGGCCAGTTGCAGCGAGTCATACAGGACCTCCCGACTCTTGGCCGATTTGATATACCGTGTCCTCCTGCCTAGGACAGTCTCTCTCCCTTACTGCTAAGCTTAATCATGATAAACTCACCCTCTCCTCATGACGTAGCCATAGAAAGAGTTGAGGATACACTTATGAGCCAACTGCAGCGAGTCATAGAGGACCTCCCGACTCTTGGCCGACTTGATAATAATCCCCACCTGCCTAGGACTCTGTCTGCCTTACTGCAAAGCTTAATCATGATAAACTTACCCTCTCCTCATAACATAGCCGTAGAACGAGTTGAGGATGCATTTATGAGCCAGGTGCAGCGAGTCATAGAGGACTTCCCGACTCTTGACCGATTTGATACAGTTACGTCCTATTGCGGTACCTGATTTATATTTTACATAAACTCACCCTCTTCTCATGACATAGCCGTAGAACGAGTTGAGGATGCACTTGTGGGCCAACTGCAGCGAGTCATAGAGAACCTCCTGACTCTTGGCCGACTTGGTAAAGTCACGTCCTATTGCAATACCTGATTTATCATATCATATTTAAAACAAACTCACCCTCTCCTCATGACATAGCCGTAGAAAGAGTTGAGGATGCACTTGTGGGCCAACTGCAGCGAGTCATAGAGGACCTCCCGACTCTTGGCCGACTTGGTAAAGTCACGTCCTATTGCAATAGCTGATTTATCATATCATATTTAAAACAAACTCACCCTCTCCTCATGACATAGCCGTAGAAAGAGTTGAGGATGCACTTGTGGGCCAACTGCAGCGAGTCATAGAGGACCTCCCGACTCTTGGCCGATTTGATCTCGGCCGCGTCGCCGCTGGCCACGGCCTCTGCCACTTTCGCTTTGGCCTGTTTGTTCAGCGCCTTGTATTCGTAGCGACGGTTTCTGATCAGGATTTGATATCCATGCTACAGCTATGCTTAATCATAATAAACTCACCCTCTCCTCATAACATAGCCGTAGTAAGAGTTGAGGATGCACTTGTGGGCCAACTGCAGCGAGTCATACAGGACCTCCCGACTCTTGGTCGATTTGATCTCGGCCGCGTCGCCACTCGCCACGGCCTCGGCCACTTTCGCTTTGGCCTGTTTGTTCAGCGCCTTGTATTCGTAGCGACGGTCTCTGATTAGGATTTGATCTCCATGCTGCTATGCTTAATCATAATAAACTCACCCTCTCCTCATAACATAGCCGTAGAAGGAGTTGAGGATGCACTTATGGGCCAACTGCAGCGAGTCATAGAGAACCTCCCTACTCTTGGCCGACTTGATATACCATGTCCTCCTGCCTAGGATAGTCTCTCTCCCTTACTGCAAAGCTTAATCATGATAAACTCACCCTCTCCTCATAACATAGCCGTAGTAAGAGTTGAGGATGCACTTGTGGGCCAGCTGCAGCGAGTCATAGAGGACCTCCCAACTCTTGGCCGACTTGATATACCATGCCCTCCTGCCTAGGACAGTCACCCTCCCTTACTACAAAGCTTAATTATGATAAACTCACCCTCTCCTCATAACATAGCCGTAGAAAGAGTTGAGGATACACTTATGAGCCAACTGCAGCGAGTCATAGAGAACCTCCCTACTCTTGGCCGACTTGATATACCATGTCCTCCTGCCTAGGATAGTCTCTCTCCCTTACTGCAAAGCTTAATCATGATAAACTCACCCTCTCCTCATAACATAGCCGTAGAAAGAGTTGAGGATGCACTTATGAGCCAGCTGCAGCGAGTCATAAAGGACTTCCCGACTCTTGGCAGACTTGATATACCATGTCCTCTTTTCTAAGACAGTCTCCCTCCCTTACTGCAAAGCTTAATCATGATAAACTCACCCTCTCCTCATAACATAGCCGTAGAACGAGTTGAGGATGCACTTATGGGCCAACTGCAGCGAGTCATAGAGGACCTCCCGACTCTTGGCCGACTTGATTTCGGCCGCGTCGCCACTCGCCACGGCCTCGGCCACTTTCGCTTTGGCCTGTTTGTTCAGCGCTTTGTATTCGTAGCGACGGTCTCTGTAAAATGAGCATCATGTGATTAGGCCTTTACAATAATGGTTGACATTGTATTTTGAACTTTAATACCTCGTCTTATGGTCGAGAAATAATGTAAAATGTCGTTAAAGATATAATACTCCACATTCATACTCCAACATTCTAGTGGCAACAAAAAAGAAAGAAAAAAAACATGTTCTCTGATTGCAGACCTTCGAGTCTACAGGCTAGAACATGAAAGGATGTTATAAAAAAGAACATTTTGAAGAAACATAGTAAGCAAAAGTATTCAAGAAGATATTTTACTAAATCGTTACCTGAAAGCTCGTACTGTGTCGACGTAGAAGGAATTTTCTTTTTGGCATATCGTCGTGGTCCGCACTTCAGTTCTAGTTACTTTAGTTTTCTTGTACGCCACTCTACAATAATCCGCTAACCGCTTTTTCTCATACGCGGCCTAAAAAATCAATAAATTTTCAAATATAGCTATGAGCAAAATACCTGTTTTAATGTAATTAAACAGGTTTCAGGATAAGACTTACCTGATCTTCTTTAGGTAAAGCATGGAAGGCTCTCTGAGGTCCCCCTGGGTGTAGAGGGGGAAACTTTTCAGTCTCCAACTGCTGCTGTATTCTTTGGTATTCACTTCTTGTTGCTGGCACTAAACAAAAAGCGACATAAGATAAAATTATCCATCACAGTAAAAAAAACTTTTTTGGCTAAACACTAGCAACATTATCTTTTTCTGTGGCATCCTTAGGACGTGTGTTGACGAGCCAATTTCCACCCGATCCGGCGACGAAGCGGTCCGACGTCGAACCAGACAGAAACTGGCTCCATAACACACGCCCTAAGGATGCCATGGAAAAAGATTATGAAATAGCCACTATTTACAGTCCTACTAATATTATAAATGCGAAAGTTTGGATGTCTGGATGCATGTTTGTTACTCTTTCACGCAAAAACTACTGAACGGATTTTGATAAAACTTTACAGGATTATTCTTTATAACCCAGAATAACATATAGCCTATAGTTTATGACGATCTGTGACAAACTAAATTTCACGCGGCTTAAGCCGCGGGCAAAAGCTAGTAATAAAATAATGATGGCTTACGATAATCTCCTCGCCACATCCACTCCATGTGCCTCTGGCAAGTGGCGCCGGGCTTGTTGTAGTCGCACACAGCACAAATGCTAGTGTTGACCATCGCTGACGGTTGCAATCTGCAAATATGACCCCAATATCACTACCTTCGGAACTCCCAATCGGAACTTTATTAAGTTTCCGATAGAGATCAATTTTGCTTGTGCTTCACTATTTTTAAGGTGAGTATTAATTGAATGTCCACTGATGTACCGAATGTAGTTAGGACTGTTTGAAGGTACAGTTAGCGGCAAATAGTTTGTGACGCCCGAAGTAGTCAAAAAGTTCGCAACACGTCATTGTTACAATGAGGATCAGTACTGTTGTAGAAAATTCAATAAAACTAGTATCTACGTTAATCTTTAAGACATAAGAAAGATATATCTTTTTGAATTATCCAAATCGGACCATTACTTAAGAAGATATTAAGTAATAAACATAGGCCGTTTTTGCCGCTAAAAGTCAACGTACGCAAGGCCGCGTGACGTCATTATATCCGAATCGAGCGCAGCCGGCGTACTAATGGGATGGAAAATATTTTTTTCCGGCTAAACTATCAGTTTTAGAAAAAAACTTTTAATAACATTTATTCTTCAAAATAAAGTAACCTATCGACCAGTAATTTTTAAAAATAAAAATTGTGAAAAATAAGTATTGCTATGTCCAAAAACCACATTTTCATAGGATTCGATGCAATGCGGAGACGCGGTTGGGGTGAGTGTAACTTAATGATTGTTTGTATTGAACATAATAATACATAATATGATGCTAATACCCAGTTTCTGGCCTGGGGGGGGATAAGTCATACCCAGCTTATAGCCTAGGAGACCCCAATCGCGTCTCTGCGTGCCATTGAATCGTATGAGCGTATGGATTTTTTGCGTTATTTTTCACAATTTCCATTTTTAAAAATTACCTATCGATAGCTTACTTTATTCTGATGAATAAATGTCATTACAAGTTTTTCTCTAAAACTGATAATTTGGCTAGAAAAAAATATTTTCTATCCACGCAGTACGCCGGCAGCGTTCGGATCGGATATAATGACGTCATCGTCCCCGCGCCGGGCGGTCAGTGAACTTTTTTAGTAATTTGGCCATAACTTCGTCAATTTTTGTCGTAGAACAAAAATTTTTGCACTGTGTATTAAGGATTTCTTAGCCCTATAAATCTGAATTCACAGCTAAAAATCGAAATGATCCTCATTGGAATAAGGTTGTGTTGTCAACTTTCTGGCCACTTTGGGTGTCACGAACTATTTGACGCTGACTGCACAGCACAGCAGCAACAAACATATCACAGACTGCATGTATTTTGCAAATTAAACCCTATTATTACTTCATAAGATGCAAAATGTTAAGTTTTTAAGTACCTGTTAGTCAAAATGATGTTAGGGTACATAGCGCCTACGTCCAAATGGTAAATAAGCGGGTTTTCGTCCCTCCTCGGGTGGTCCCTCATATGTTCCAACTTGGCGCGGATCTCGCCGCACACCTCATCGAAATTGGTGACCAGATCTAGGGGAATACCCTCTTCGACTTCTATGGCGTGTTTCATGGTCTTCTCAATGGTGGATATGAGGTTGTCCACAGCTGATGGGACGATTCGGAACTTGCATTTGATGTCTGCTCGAAAAACACCTGGAAAAGGATGTGTAAGGGTATACATTGTTGGCAAAGAAGAAAAAAGTAGTACTTTCTAGTGCCGATATATGTTGTCCCGAAGTGGTGGTAACGCAAGCTATAATCGGGAAGTGTAAATGCCCTGAAAAGGAGCCTATACACTAAAACAATCCGAATTTGACTCAGCAAACTCTAATGCTGGAGGCATTATAATATCAGTTTGTGTTTCAACGAGTTTGTTGCTAGTGAGCTTATTGGGAACACTATATTTTACACTAGCACCATTAGCTGCGACCGTATATGATACTTTTTTTCCGTCAGTTACGACCTATCTCGTACTTACCAGATTCCAATGCTTCTACGTGGCCTCCTACGTAAGTCTCGGTCTCCAACACGTGTCCATCGTTAGTAAGCTTATTAAGCTCCTCCACTTGCTTATTCGGGAAGACTATATTCGCGTGGAACGCTTGCACCATGAGCAGCGACTCGCATAACGTACCGGAGCCTTTGCGGAGTACCTGGAATGTTTACGTCAACAGTTGAACATTTATGCCCAGAACACACGGTGAAACGCAATTGCAACGAAACTGCAACTTCTAGTTACTTTTGAGTTGCATCTAAGTTTCTGCCATAATCTATGGCAGAAACTCCGTTGAGAGACCACACATGACGCGACCATTTCAAACCGGTTTCAAACTGGTCACGTCATGTGTGGTCTCAAATGTAACTGACGTCTTCATAAGTGCCACTTGTGGTCTAAACTGAATAAATATAAAAAAAAAAGATAGAAGTTGCAGTTTCGTTGCAATTGCGTTTTACCGTGTGTTCTGGGTATTAGGCCTACTTCAGACACGGCGGAATTTGTGCTGTTGCTTGGACAGTTTGCATCGAACCGTAACCGTGCAGTTATGGTTAGATGCAAATGTACGAGAATTCCCATCAACAGAGCGGCTACGGTTTGATGCAAATGCAACTGCACGGTTACCGCGCGTGTCTGGAAAAGGCCTAAGATAGATTAGAAATATATCAATTACTTATAAAAAATTACAATTTAGAAAAAGTGTACACCATAGCAGGTTACATCATCATCATCATCATCATCATATATTCTATCAAGCAGTAATTTAATAGAATACCTATATTTATTAAATGCCACATGCAATAAATTTAATGTTTACCTCATCTGGCTCCAATGGGATAATAGTACATAACGCAAATATGAATGGATGGACGTATTTCATGTACAAGTAGTATGTGGCCACTGCATCAGACACTGAATAGTTGGATAGCACCTGAAAGGTAATATGACACTTTAAATCATCTACAAATTGGTTAATTTATTGAAATAGATTGGTAGTTTGTAATTTTATTTAAAGTTTGTATGTTTAAAGCTTGGGTTTTCAAGCTGTGTGGCATTATCCCAAGGGTGTCGCGAGGCGAATGAAAATAATGTGCGTAGCAAAAAGTGCCAAACCTCCAAGGGCATCGCAGTAAAAAAAGTTTGTGAGGCCCTGGTTTTTTATTATTTCTAACCAGAATCACTTACCTGTGGTTGTTCAGCCGCCATGCGACACATGTCTTCAGGGTCCAATTCTACCGGATCGTACCTGAGTTTCGCTTTGGCTACGGCTTTTAAACCTTGAGACCCCACTGGCAGGTATGAATCTCTTTTTACCCAGCTGTAATAGATAATAATACGAGTATTACGAGTACATGTTAGAACACGTCGCCGAAAAGTAGAGTTACGCCTTGGCCGCGAAATCTTGCGTGCTTTGCGTGTGGAACCTCATTAGTTTCGCTACCAAAGCTTCTATGTAGAAGTGATCTACCAGCGTTAAAATATCTCTATGACAATGTTAGTGGAGCAGCAATTTCTTATTAGATGGAAAATGCCTATCAGTTGTGATCCTAAATCAAATATAGGTCTAATTGAGGACTATATCAAGTACCAACCAAACAATATGTTTATGGGGCACTGTGAATACTTCATTTGCGCGAGCTAAGTCAGAACAGCGCCATCTATTGGTAGGTTTACGAACTTTACTTATAAAAAGTTGTACATCGAGTTTGATAAAATATAATTGGCCATATTCTATTGCTCTATTGTATAATCTACTGTTACCATAAACAATCCATGTGCATAGCAGGGCGGCAGGCGTAGCTGCCGTCACGGGCTGTGATCTTACTGAAGCCAATCTCCTGCTTCATGTCAAGTCCCAGTATCGCTGCTCGCGCCTCAACAAAGGGCCAGTCGAAGAAGTCACCTACGTAAAGAAGATTATTAGTAAAAGAAATATGTATACAAAGTGATATTAAATAAACGCATTTACCGTTGTATGTGACGAAAATGTGGGGTTTCACATCCATTATGTGGTCAAAAAACTTCTGTATTAGAGCCAATTCGTTTTCTTCATTGAATACTATGAACTGCCTGTAAATATAAAAAGACCCAGTTCCATAATAAAGTAGTTGAAACACTAAATTACACCAACAAGAAGGAAACCTTACCCTTCAAATTCAGGTTTAGGAGTGTATTCAAAATCTTCAACATCAGTAGAAATGATCTCTCTATTGGTGATCAAGTATCCCTGTGCATCAATCATGTATGAAATCATCATAATCTGATCGGTTTGTGAATCAGGGAATTTTAATGGCAATTTTGTGGTTTCTATATCAAAGGCTAGTACTATAGGGTCAGGTCGTTCCAGGATGTCGTCGCGTTTGGTGAACACTGGCGGCTCAGTGCCGCGACTTTTGATAGTGTACCAGGTGCCACAGAAAATCTGCATGTCGATTGATACTCTCACATGGTAAGGCACATCATGCTCCCTGGGGAAAAATCATATTAGATTAAGGATTTTAAGCAGTACCAACAAAAAGTACTGCTCTCTCTGTCTGGGTGTCCACGGAAGACCAGAGTCGTGGCATTCCTGATATGCTGAGTGGCCCACCATTTCAGTATCCTGTGTATGTACATTTTTTAATAATTTACATTAATATTTCTCTATTAACTTATGTGGTAATGAATAAAAATGTTTTCTTTCTTTCTTTCAAAGACAAGAACATTTTTTATTTACTAAGGTTCTAAACAAAAAATATGCACAACATAAAGTACCTGATATCTAAAATATTTTCCATGTGATCAGTGGTTTTCTTGGCGTACTCCAACGCAGCAGCACTTGTCAGTGCGTTGGTCAGCATCTCAGCATAAATAGCATCTTTTTTCTCCCTCTCTTTATTCTTATTAACTGCTGTGAGTATCTCTCTCCTAACTTTCATCATTTCATTTTGAGACATGAAGGAGAGCTTAATATAGCTTTGTTTAAGACCAGATAAGTGGTTAAGCTGAAAATGTAAGATATAAGAATACATCAAATCAAATAATTTTATTTGCATTTATGTATTGACAATAAAATTATTTTAATTTACTTTTGAAGATGCAAAATCTGGAAAAGTTTGGTGATACCTTGATTTCATGTGATTAAGGCTTCAATGATATGAATTATTATGAGATAATTTAGTTGATCAAATTATAATAATATAATTTATTAATTTCATTGATAAAAACTCAGCAGAACATATTTTTAAATACACACCAAATCCAAATCCTCCTTTTCAATGATTTCAATTTTGTGTATAGTCCCAGCAAACTTCTTGGACAAGTACTGTATGACTTCCTGCTCACATTCCTGCCGGGCCATGATGAGGAAGTAAGGTTGGAACATCAGGGATATCTTGAACCTGGCTCCGTCCATCTCAATAAAATAGTAGTCCATCGCTGCCACCAACCTTTTGTCTTCATCTAGAATTTCAGCCTAAAAAGAAGTTAAGTGATATGATAACTTAAATACCTTTAAGTAAATAATTAGAGAATATCTTATAAGCATATTGCCTCTGGTAAACAGTGTCGGGCTCCTGCAGTGCAGTAGAGACTGATGGTTATATCTTTATTTATTTATTAGGTACACCAACAAAGTCACATACATTTCTTACATTTAAACATGTTTTAACAATGACCTTAATGGAATTTTAATGAAAATAAAGTACTCACTGTGTGCATATTTATTAGGTAACCTGTTCTTTCCTTGGCATCTCGTACGCGATCAAATCCATATTTCGAGTCAATTTTGTCATTCTCCAAGGCTATCCTTATACGTGATTCTGATGATTCTTCTCTATAATATAGAAAAAAATAGTTAATACTTCGATACAGACACAACAGTTGATCAACATAAAAATACGAATTATAATCAACACACCTGCTTCCTGATGAAGTACCTGCATCTTTCTTGCTTGAATCTTCTCTATCTGATCTATATTTACCAGTATTTTGCAAAACCATTGTGAAATAATAAATGTTTTCATCAAAATAAAATATAACCACAAACCACAACACAACCAAAAACAGATGTCAACAACTGTCAATTTTTGGCGCCATTTTTATTTTTTTTTAGAATCGAAACACGTATAACGCAAAGATACTGGATGGTAAGGGCTACATCGGCTAATTTTGTGCACAAAAATGTTAAGTGAAAATGTGAAATCATCACTGAATTCACTGATAACGTGGAGTGGATATAGAACGCGCAACGAAAGTTGAGGCGAACACACTCACATGAATATAATATTTGAATACAGAACACTGCAAGATATCAGTACATACAACAAGCGTTTACAGATATAAATCTTTGTGTTGGTCGCCTCAACTCTGGCTGCGCGACCTTTGTTTGATGAACCAAGTTCCGCCTCAAATATGTTTATGCCTATGCCTAGGCATGATGGCTGCCTGCCAGTGCAGAAAAAAAAGAAACTGTCATTAACGTCAGCCAACCGTCTTCTGCTATCCTATCTGCTTTGAGGTTATGTTGTTAATGTTGAAAGCTTGATAAATTTTATAAACATCTTAATTATAAGGACAAAAATGGATCAAACATACGATTCACTTCAAGATTTATCTTTAAATGGCAGTTACAAGAATTGTGATAGTAGTATTTCTGACCAACTAGCAGATTTTTCAAGACTTCGTATATCGGCGCTCACGAAAGCTGCAGAAATGAGTCCTCTGGTAAAAGAGGTAACTATAGGGCCAAACAGTCCCATCAAAAAGCAAGAGATAGTTATTGAAGACGCCCCGAAAAATATAGAAACATTTGACGAGAGTCTGGTTGAAGATAAAGTGCGCGAAGATCTTCGGTTCACTCTTCTCATGAAGAACTATGATAACAAACTAAAAGAAAGTGCAGAAGAATTATTCAATGATTTGATTGAGCAAATGATTACAAACCGTGCTGATGCAATGAAAAAATTTTCCATCAAACTAAGTGATGAATGCAACCGCCGAACCTTGGAGGGCAGAGTGCGAAAAATGGAGCTGTTGAAAAGTCTACAGGATAATGACAATTCATCTTTGCTTGAACAGGCGAAACAAGATGAACTACAAAGCCAAATCCTTAAAAAACAAAATATGGAAAATATGAACAGGATATTAGAAGAACAAAATAGAGCAACTGCTCGATTTGCGTCTATTACAGACAGCCACACCAAAATATGCATCTGTTATAATGAACTGACAAATTTATTGCAGACTGAACCACTTGCAAAAGTTATCTGCGATAAGTATATTACTGCCATCAATGCAGTAATAAGCACTATTAACTCCATAATGGAGAGCTGTAAAAGTGGCTCCATTACAGACAAAGAAGTCAAACAAGCTGAAGTATTATCTGTTAATGTAGAAAATATCAAAAAGAAAATATTTGCTGACCTTGATTTGCATAAAAAGCAGGAAATCCAAAAATTAAAAGAATTAGAGGAAGCAAAGAAGAAGGAACAGGAGATGAAGAAAGCAGAAGAACAAAAAGCAGTTGAAATAGCACAGGCACAGAAACAAGCAGCCGCATCGTCCAAAAAGTCTACCAAGCCAATGTTTTATTCTTCCAAAAACTACAGCAATTATGAAGAACTGAAAACATTTCTGGAGTCTTATGAAAGCCAATACAAAGATTTATTAGAAAATACAAACATGAAAAAATTCAGGTTTGACTGTCAAAAAGCTGTTAACACACCTGTGAATGCATTGTCATCTGTAAGTGGATCGCACATTCGTGATAAATATGACAAACTTTATAAGTTATTGAAAGGAGAAAGGGTTCAGGTCTTAGATACTTATGTCACAGCCACCCAACACCCTCAAGGCCTTTATTACTGTACTGCTCTATTGGCCAAGAAGATTGTAAGGCAAGGTGATCTACTGGTTTCAAGCAACCCTGAAGCTGCCTTCCCTCTTGCTGCTGTTACAGCTGCTCTGTGGTCTCAATTTCCAATATTTGGCAAGCTTCTAGAAGCCAATTTTTATAGACAATGTCCTTACCTAGTGCCCATGTTTTTGCCACAGAAGGAAGGACAAACAGATAAAGAATTCTACTTATCAAGAGGCTACACATACAATGAGGAAGGAGTGGTAGAAAAACAGGATAAATTTTTAAAGAGAATGTCAGGAATCTTTAGGCTCAACTGTGCAATCTGGATTGCTCTGACACCTAGATTTATAAATACAGTAAATCCACATGGAATATGTTACGCATGGAGATGGCTTGCTTCCTTTATCAATTTGAGACCTGAACCGGACATATGTGCTACATTGTTGCATGATTTCTTTTCTGTTTGTGGATCTGAATTTTTCAAAAATTATGGCAAACAATTTGTTAAAGTTATAAAGCTAATAACTACAGACTACTTGGCCATATTACAAGACATAGATGAAGGAGGTCCAAAAACAAGATTGGAAGTATTTTTGCAAAATGTACTTAAAACAGGACAAATTTCACCACCAAGTGGACTTTTGCCTCCTAATACTTGGTAGGCAGTTAATGTATTTTACTTGTTCCTGCTGCATGGCCCTACAATATGAATGAATTCAATGGGAATCCAAACTGTGAGTTTATTTCGCTAGGTGGCGCATCGTCGATCAAGTCATTGCCAGTGATCACATACATTTTGTAGATAGCATTTTAGAAATCTTGATTTTATTCTTATTCACTGGATAAAATAAATAGCATCTGTAAGTAATCTAACACAAAGTTATAAAGGTCAAACCTATAAACCTGCACGGACCGACGCTAGCGCCATCTGTGAAAAGCTTTGCGGGTGGAATATTTTTCTGAATGTTTTGTTACATCTTTTTATGTGTTGTTTACTGCTCAACTTTCAACTATTTTAATAATAGCAATCTTTAAACTAGTAATATAAGAGCAAGTATGTATTTGTAAAAAAATAACATAAAAAATATAGTACCAACTTTTACCACAATATTGATCTAAGAATTCTACAAAAAAACTATTATCTTGATGTTTATTTTATTTGTGATTCAAATTCTGGTTTGTGGTTTTTCTTTAGATTTTTCCTTAATCTTATCTCTATGTATTTTAGTAGAATAATAATTATTTAAAGTTTGTTGGTTAGTGCCACAGCAGATATGGACATAGGTAATTTCATGAAATCATGTGATACTCATTAATTTTAATCTAAGGAATGTTTGTTATAAGCTTTTAAAAATATTCTTCTTTCATAAGTAAAGCTAGCGGACATAATAAAATTAATTTTTGATAACTTGAAAATGTTTAATTGTCAGTAAAGATTTTGTTTACTCCATAATCTGGTTTTGCTTTATTTTTATTTAAATTCTGTTACACGCAGACCTCCTGCCTACTCAGGTACATTATACACTGATTCCTGCTGTTTTTGCTGTGACCAGCCCCCCTAGACAAAACGCACTTTTTGATCGAATCGAAAATCGAATCCGTCAAATTCCATACAAAAAAGGGGCTTTTCGACCACTTTTCGACTGGTTTGCGATTATAATGGCACTTTGTCTAGACCCACAGGATTACATGGTATGTAGTTCTGAGTCATAGACTTGGCGCCGCAACTTTTTCAAAAATAAATCGAGAAAGGGCTAAATAAAGCTATAATGAGACTAGAACTGTGCCGTAGGTAGACATAATAGTTTCTGAGATTTTATCCCAAATGGACTACTTTCTGTTAGTAAGTAGGTACCTACCTACCATTTTGAAGTAGGAGAAAACTACAACGCGAGAAGAGAATAGACTCATCTCGTAATTATTAAATCTACAGAGACATTTTGTGCGCGGGCTGGGGGTCCCTTTTATCCCCAGAGCTCTGAGCTTAAGTTTAAGTATCCCAACAAAGATCTACCTACATCGATGCCGCTTAATAGTGGGTTACCTACGCCATATCGAATCACAAATGATCGAAAATCAAAATATCGAATACGTTTCATCGAACGATCAAAATATCGAACGATCAAAATATCGAATGCTCAAAATATCGAACGTTCAGAATATCGAACGATCAAAATATCGAACGATCAAAATATCGAACGATCAAAATATCGAAAGTCGATATAGACGTTTTTATTTAATTCATCTACCTTGCTCGGCTCCGGTGCATGGTTGTGTTTGGTCGTACAGTTTTGTTTTGCCAGTTAATGTGTGCCTTAAGTATTTTTGTGCCTGAAAAGTTTATTGGAGAATAATGTCCGTGGGGACCTATTATAAGCCTAGCCTGTCCCAAAAAGGAAAAACAGTCATGTCACCAAACACAACCATGCACCGGAGCCGAGCAAGGTAGATAAAATTTAATAAAAACGTCTATATCGACTTTCGATATTTTGATGGTTCGATATTTTGATCGTTCGATATTTTGATCATTCGATATTCTGAACGTTCGATATTTTGAACATTCGATATTTTGATCGTTCGATATTTTGATCGTTCGATGAAACGTATTCGATATTTTGATTTTCGATCATTTGTCATTCGATATGGCGTAGGTAACCCCTTAAAAAATTTTTGTCGGCTTGGCTATTCGCTTGGTTCAAAATGCTGGGTTACAAAGAAAAAAATTCAAGAAAAAAAAATAGTGTCACTTTTGAGAGTTGTTGACAAATCGCTGATTGATTGTCAAAAGTACTAAAAATGTCAGTAGCTTCGTTTCCCATGGTCGTAGATTTTTTATTGATTCAGAGTGAAAACATGTAATTATTAACTGTTGTTTGTGTTGTTTGCATTTACTGTCATTGATATGTTTTGTACTTAACCAAACTTGTAGGTGTTTTGTCTTTTTTACCTAGTATACGACAAATAAAATAATGGAATACAAACCGTATTTCTTTGCGAGGCATTCCGCCTTCAGCCCTTATAGGATGATGAGGAAGGAAATGGGGTTCACAACACCCGTTGGCAGTGGGGATGCATACGCTCGCAGTCTGTATTGTGGGATGAAGCCTATAGCTTCGTGGGACTGTGAACAGATCAGTCATGGTTTGCCCACTGGAGGCGTTTACAACCTTGAGTTCTCCCCGGAAGGGTAAGTATTACCAGCTGTTTATAATATTCCGTATAGCCTTGACATTGGCTGTAGTATTTAACTGTCTACAAATTCAATTTGATTCAACTGAGACCATAAAAATAATTTTGGATTAAATAGGTATGTTTGCTTCTTTAGTATTTTTACATTTTGTTTAGACAGTGCAATCAAGAATGTATGGATATTTACTTAGTTACGATATTTATTATGCAAGTTAATCAATACTTTCTTCTTTGATTAATTGTAGGTCACTGCTTGTTGCTGCTTGTGAGAAAAAGTGTATACAGATATTTGATCCGCTCAATCATAAGAGGATTCACTCGGTCCATGGAGCTCACTCAGACTGTGTAAACTGTGTCAAGTAAGTTTCTCTGCAAGTAACTTTCCCTTACTTTATTTGCTTTGATTTATTTTAAAGCTTGATTGCCACTAGCTATTTATTATATTTTAAGACTAAACTATACAATTCTTTTGATAAATCATTTTATTTAATGCTAAAGTACTTCCTACTTATGTAAATGTAAAATGATAACAGAACTTATCATGTTTTTTGTAAATAAATTGGTTTTAGAAGTTTGATAGCTCAAGTGCATTTAACAAATAGCCATTAGTTAATGTAGTTATAACCTAATGTAGCAAATCATTAATTACTGGTATTGGGGAAACTTGTAATGTGACTTGAAAGTGAAACAACATAATAAATAGCATTGTTACCCTTCACACTACCAGGGCCGGATCTACCTATGGGCTGATTGGGCTGCAGCCCAGGGCCCCGGGGTTACAAGGGGCCCCCAGATCCCGCTAAAAAGTAGGCCATAATTGAAAAAAAAAAATAGTTGTCTGTAAAGTCGGTTTACGGACGATATTTTTACGTGACAACTTCATAAGAAGTTTCAGCCCAGGGCCCCACAAATTCACGATCCGGCCCTGCACACTACAGCATTTCATCATACACAATAACTGAATAAAAAAAACCAGATTCATAAAACACTTAGCTGAAATTTTTGAAAATAATAATAAAAAATATTAAAGCGTTATCACTTCAAAAAATTTAAGAAAAAAAAACATTACTGCGTTATAAATTGACAACTGACTTATTTACTAATAAATGTTCATGATCAGATTTTTAGATGGACGAATGTTTGCTACCTGCTCTGACGACACAACAATCGCTCTATGGGATGTAAGAAACCTGAAGAAGAAGATACGCTCACTGTTTGGGCACTCGAATTGGGTCAAAAATATTGAATTCTCGTTTAAAGACAAGCTTTTAGTCACATCTGGTTTGGATGGCAGTATTTATACATGGGACATCAATTCCTACACAGGTAAAGTATTTTTGAGTTCTAGAGCTTATTGTTTTTAGTTATTGTCATTGTTATTTTTAATATTTAGCAAAGCATTTACACAGAAATACTTTGTATATAGTAATACATATCTGTAAATTGTGGGGTATTCATTCAGCTGAATTTATTTTATTGATGTTGTTTAGTACTTTTTATGTTGTTACATTTTATAAGTAACCTCTAAAGACTAAAAATACCATGCATTATTATTCTTTGTGCCTCAATATAACATTTCCCTTCCAAAGGCTGAGGAGAAGCAAAACCACTGGTATCAGGTTCTATTAAAACGACATTATGTATTAGTTGAAGAGTTGTCCTTCATTCCAGAGTACAACTTAGTATACCAGCGAGTGTTCCACGCGTCTGGCCTGATGCGGTGCCGGCTGTCGCCCGATGCGCGCCAGATGGTGATGTGCACCACCGGCGGCCTGCTCGTCATCATCCACGACCTCAACCTGTCCACCCTGGCGCAGCACCTGCACGGGTTCAAGGTTCGTGTCTAAGGAAGGACAAATGTGTGCTTACCATGAGTTTACGTTAGGTGTGCTTGGTACACTGGTATACCAGCGTGATAGATGTCAGGTGCTTCATTGGCGGCCTTATCCACGACCTCAAGCTGTCCACGCGTGCGCAGCACCTGCACGGGTTCAAGGTTCGTATCTCGGAGGGGACAACTGGTATACCAGCGAGTGTTCCACGCATCGAGCCTGATGCGGTGCCGGCTGTCGCCCGATGGTGAAGTGCACCACCGGCGGCCTGCTCGTCATCATCCACGACCTCAACCTGTCCACGCTGGCGCAGCACCTGCACGGGTTCAAGGTTCGTGTCTAGGGAAGGACAACTGTGTGCTTACCATGACTTTACGTTAGGTGTGCTTGGTACACTGGTATACCAGCGTGGTAGATGTCATGTGCATCATTGGCGGCCTTATCCACGACCTCCTGCACAGCACCTGCACGGGTTCAAGGTTCGTATCTCGCAGGGGACAACTTGGTATACCAGCGAGTGTCCCACGCGTCGGGCCTGATGCGGTGCCGGCTGTCGCCCGATGCGCGCCAGATGGTGATGTGCACCACCGGCGGCCTGCTCGTCATCATCCACGACCTCAACCTGTCCACGCTGGCTCAGCACCTGCACGGGTTCAAGGTTCGTATCTAGGGAAGGACAACTGTGTGCTTACCATGACTTTACGTTAGGTGTGCTTGGTACACTGGTATACCAGCGTCACAGCGTGGTAGATGTCACGTACATCATTGGCGGCCTGATCCACGACCTCAACCTGTCCACACTGGCGCAGCACCTGCACGGGTTCAAGGTTCGTGTCTAGGGAAGGACAACTGTGTGCTTACCATGACTTTACGTTAGGTGTGCTTGGTACACTGGTATACCAGCGTGGATCATTGGCGGCCTTATCCACGTCCTCAAGCTGTCCACGCTGGCGCAGCACCTGCACGGGTTCAATGTTCGTGTCTAGAGAAGGACAACTGTGTGCTTACCATGACTTTACGTTAGGTGTGCTTGGTACACTGGTATACCAGCGTGGTAGATGTCACGTGCTTCATTGGCGGCCTTATCCACGACCTCAAGCTGTCCACGCTGGCGCAGCACCTGCACGGGTTCGAGGTTCGTGTGTAGGGAAGAGAGTGATCGTCACATCTGGTGTAGAAGCAAGCTTCACAAACTATCGCCATTCCTCCTGTACCCTTACCCGTACACTATTAAATGCAGAACTGCTGATTAAGAAGAGATTACTATTCCCACTCTTGTGTAGCCACTAGCCAGGATCTACAGCTTGACTGCCAATAAAAACCAAACCAGTGAAGGCCAAGTTTGTCCCGGTGTAAAGTTAAACTGTCATTGGACACGCAAAAAATAAGGCAGAAGAACATAGGAGCTCTAAGTTAGGGTTTTACTTCTTCTTCTCGATGCTACACTCTTGCTAGCGGTCGTGGTCGTCACGTCCGGTGGCAAGCCTCACAATCCGTCGCCATTCCTCTCGCACTGCAGCCTTTCTTGTGTACTCGTGGAGTGGACCATTGAGTGCCTCAATATAACAAACATGACGTGTGGGAGGGGTTCGACTTAAGGGATTAAGAACGGATAAGATATTCGTTTTTGTTAACGGCTTTTTTTTGCCCACAGCCAAACCTGTACCGGCTGATGCAGATGAGCCAACAGCTGATTCCTATCGCCGCCATGTACGACCACCTGTTCGACAGCAGCCGCAAGGAGAACCGCATCGAGTTCGTGTCGGACTTCCCCGACGGGAACGATGCTAAGGTCGTCAGCTCGCTGCAGATACATCCGCAGGGGTGGAGCGCGCTGAGCAGGAATATCAGCCATGATGACAGATCAGAGGTAGGTCAGGATATAAATGTTTAAGTGTTATTTTACAGGCTTTCAACGTTTTAAAAGTTATCTACTCCGTATCAGTGACAAGATGAAGAAATTCGGATCAAAGTGGGGTAAAAAACATCTATTTTGTGTGGGTAGCTACTATATTTTATTCTCTAGTAAAAGAAAGATCTGTGATGGTGATCTTTGAAAGATCTGTGTATTCCACTCCCTGAACCATTAATGTCAATACTTAGAACGTTTTCATCAGACATTAATTAATTGATATGATATTGAGATTTTGGTAAATACTCCAAGAAGACCTAAGTAAGAGAATACTAGGAATCTTAACCCAAAAAGTCATCACTTATGATGACGGATATTATTTATCCGCATGCAAACACTGAGTGTTTGAAATGGGCATATTATACCCAAAAATCATTTTCCTTCTCTATCCGCAGTGGTCATGCATCCACGACATCCAGCCGTACCCCGAAACGAGCGACAAGTCGACGCGCGACACGAGCGCGTGGGAGGCGCGCTCGTCGCCGCGCCGCGTGCCCGCGCGCCGCGTCGTGCGCCGCCTGCGCCCGCGCCCGCGCGCGCCCCGCCCGCAGGCCTCCGTCACGCCCGCCACGCCCACGAGGGTCCCACCCACTCGAAGGTTAGTGACCACACTAAGGCCCTTTTCACACGTCCCGGTTGCCGGCTAACCGGCGCCGAATATCCGGTGGTGAAGTGTATGGGCATGGTACGTAGCTTTCACATGTTCCGGCGTAATTAATCCGGCATGCCCATACACTTCGCGACCGGGTACCCGGCGCCGGTTAGCCGGCAACCGGGACGTGTGTAAAGGGCCTAACACATCACGCTCGCTGCCCGCGCGCCGTCTGCGCCCGCGCCCGCGCGCGCCCCGCCCACAGGCCTCCGTCACGCCCGCCACGCCCACGAGGGTACCACCCACGCGCAGGTTAGTGAGCACACTAAGGCCTCAGCCTCGAATTTAGCGGGCAGCGGGGCGGTGGCGGAAGTGGCGCGGGAGCGGCCGGATCTTATGCGTAAAATCAAATAGACCGGTTCTCGAAAACAGCGCAGTGCAGCGCGGGAGCGGGCAACGAGCGGGCAGCGGCGCGGAAGCGGGAAACGAGCGGGCAGCGCACTCCTTCTTTTGCCCACAATAAATCGAGCGTTAGAAATAAATTTGAATCGAAATAAAATTATCGCCGTTGTTCAGACATTTCTTTTTCGAATAAAAACAAATATCTCCTCGACAACACAACCCCGAACACAACACTTCGCCGCTAAAGCGCCGCGCGAGCTGCCCGCTTGTTTCGAGAACGGGTCTGCGTTGCCCGCCCCGCTCCCGCGCCGCTGCCCGCTAAATTCGAGGCTGAGGCCTAAGGCTGGTTTTAATGTCACGCGGACCGTCCGGTGCGGACCCGCTCCGCACGGCCAATCTGTATGAACTTCTAGGGAGCGTTTTAGAGTAATGCGGTCCGGAGGAACCGCTCCGCTCCCTAGCAGTTCATACAAATCGACTGTGCGGAGCGATCCGCGCTGACAGTCCGCGTAACATTAAAATCACACTAACACATCACACTCGCTGCCTGCGCAGGCCTCTGTCACGCCCGCCACGCCTACGAGGGTACCACCCACCCGCAGGTTAGTGAGCACACTAAAGCCGGGTCCAGACGGGTGTAATTGTAAGTGTACGTGTGGTACTACCATACTATTTCCATTACATTACACGATACATTCAATTACACCCGTCTGGACCCGGCTTAACACAACCGCGAGTCTAGAATGCCCCGCCCGAGGTTTCTGTAACCCCCTGGTTCGCACGGCTGCCCACACGCTCGAGATAAGTAGAGAACAGAGCGCAATTAACTATTTGACACCACCAATCAATAATTGACGTACTTTTTAAAAGTGTCAAAACGAGACTCCCATCGATTTTGTATGGCACTACAAGAAAGTGACGTAGCTATTTTGTCAACTCAAACTACTTTTTTCAATTACAAAGCAACCAAAAATCTTAATTTACATGCAATTTAAAATTTGTTAAGTTTTTAAGACTTTTAAAAAAGTTTTAATTTCGAATTATTGGTGAAAGGTGTCAAATAGTCTATTCACTCACTCTCGCGCGCCGCATCGTGCGCCGCCTGCGCCCGCGCCCGCGCGCGCCCCGCCCACAGGCCTCCGTCACGCCCGCCACGCCCACGAGGGTACCATCCACCCGCAGGTTAGTGACCACACTAACACATCACGCTCGCTGCCCGCGCGCCGCGTCGTGCGCCGCCTGCGCCCGCGCCCGCGCGCGCCCCGCCCGCAGGCCTCCGTCACGCCCGCCACGCCCACGAGGGTACCACCCACGCGCAGGTTAGTTGCTCCTCTTCAGGTCCTTGGTCGCTGCTTCGAAAGCGATGAACCAGAGCCGAGGTCTGTCGCGCCAAAACGGTGGGACACGCATGGACAATGCAATGCCCGATACTTCTTGCGCCGTTGTTGCTTGCTGTTCTTCCATGTTCAGTTTTCAGACGGGGTCACCACTGTAAGAGGCCTAGGTGCCCCGATATACGGTTAATTGTCGTAAAGAACGAAAACGTTACTAACATGCACAGATGAGATGAGATGACCGGACACACACTTTCAGGACCGCCCAACACTAGTTGGAACTCACCGTAGATGCTTAAACTTAAAATCTATCTCTTACAGGCGACCCGCCGAACCCCAAAACGAGAGAGAAAGAGACGAAGACAGAGACGAATCGGAACCAGAGCCCGGTCCGAGTGCCGCCCGGCCCGAGGAAGGAGACGCCCCAGGAACGCCCCGGCTGGCCGTAGTAAGCAACCGAAAGTCCCCTAGGTACTTACATTCAATTCCCCGATGCTTATAATGTGATCGTATCATTCTCTTTTAGCCAGGATTGTCCAGTATACAGAATGACGTGTGGGAAGCGTCGATTACCATCAAGCAACACAGGACGCTGCAAGAAATGTACAGCAGGTGAGACGCTCGCTTGGATGTTATGACCTTGGAACACGAGGCTGTAGTTTCTTAAGGAGTTGATGCCTGTTGATGTTTTGCCAGACAAATTAGTACATTTAATCTGTTTTAAACAAACGAAAGGTACAGGGAAAGATGAATCATTGTCAAAATTCAGTTCATAAGGAGTGAAGTTGTGCGAAATCGCTTGAAATTATAAATTGATCATTATCTTAATGACGAAATCGTATTATATGAGATATCTTTCCCTGTTTGTTACCTTAAAATGGCATGACTTGATGTTGGTATAGAATGGAATGTTTGAGAGGGAATTTTACGTGTCATTGATGCAATGAAATCCTCAATGACTTTACTATTTAAATTGATATGTGTACACACTTTAAATGTCAGATTTGCACAAACTTCACATAAAAGTACAGTATGATTTAGCATAGGTAGTTCAGCATGTCTTCTGTAGCCATAAATGACATGTTAATGTAATGCATCATTAATCTACTTCATCAATGAGGTAGTCCATTCATTTGCTTAAGTTTAGACCTTCCCATAGAATGTAATAGTTAAGGTATTTGCCACACTGGACGGAAATGCCGTCGCAAATCTTTCGTCAATACAAGTGATTCCTTATAAATTACTAAAACGAACACTCCACGCGGATGATTGGTTGCTCCGATTTATAATCAACTGCTTTTGCTCGCGGCTTCGCGTGAAATTTTGTTTGTCACAGAAAAATTTTACTTCCGTCCCTTTTTCTAAACCCGGGATAAAAACTATCCTACGTCCTTTTCCGGAACTCAAACTATCTCTGAACCTTTTATCAAAATCGTTTCAGTGGTTTAGACGCAAAAGCGTAACAAACAAGAGTTACTTTCGCATTTAGCCTAGGAGCAGACCACCGACTTTTCGTTGGCTGATAGTTGCGCCCGATTCTAATTTGTATGAAGAATCGGTGTAGTGTGCGCACTTCCATACATGTTCATCATACTGATCAACAGCCCCATTCAACTATCGGCCAAGTAAAAGTCGGTGGTCTGCGCCTAGTCTTATAATTAATTAGTAGGAAATGAGTAGTGGTAACTTGCTTTGCGGAAGAATCGCGACGGCATTCCCGTCAAGTGTGGCCACTGGCTAACGAGCTGGTCTCTGTAGGGGCCAGGTGGGGCGCAACTTCAACATGCAGCGCATCATGGGCATCAACACCGGCATCGCGCCGCCCACCGCGCTGCTGCACGTGCCCCGCCCGCCCGACCACGCCCGCCCAGAGCCCGCGCCCACGCCGCCCCGACGCGGGGACAGGTGAGACGCTTGACAACTTGTGGGGACATTTGAGACCGCGCCCTATCCTCACGTCGCGGGAATAGGTCAGACTCCCGAAAATTTGTGGAGCCATTCGAAACTGCGCCCAGGGGGCGTCGGCGCAGTTGCAGAGACAGGTGAGACGCTTGACATTTGACAACTTGTTGGGGCCAGTTATTAAGACCGCGCCCACGCTTCTCCGTCGTGGGGACAGGTGAGACACCATTATGTGGGGCCATTTATTGAGACAGCGCCCACGCTACTCCGTCGTGGGGACAGGTGAGACGCCTGGACATTTATGGGGACATTTGAGACCGCGCACACGCTGCTCCTGCCGCGGGGAAAGGTGAGAAACCCGACAAATTGTAGGGCCATCTGAGACCGCGTCCACGCTTCTCCGTCTTAGGGACATGTGAAACGCCTGAGACCACTTATGGGAGCATTTAAGACGCACCCAGTAGTGGTAGTGGCAATAATTTTCTTGTGAAAAGAGAAAATACTGCGATTATTTTGAATATAATTTGTATATCTTGTCTTGTGTGGTGTACAAAAAAGTGTGTTCTAGTTCTATCTATGAGCAAATAACAAGTCGAGAAAGATATTTCGTTGTCTGGCAATTGACATTTTACTACCAAAGTTTGTAGTTGAAAAACCACTGACTTTTCTTTCTTTCCAGCACATCACCATCCACATCTGGCCAGACGCCTAGCAGAGAGCGGCGGGAGAGGGAGAGGGAGCGACAGAGAGAGCAGGACAGCGCGTTCGACGACGACCGGCCCGAGACGCGACACTACATCCGCCAGAATCGGGACCGGCTGCTGTATTATATTGAAGAGACTAATGAAGGCAAAGGCTTTATCAAAGTGAGTATTGCTGGGGCGATGGATTATTACTCCCTTAATTATAAAAATTAAACACTCGTTGAATAGTGTTTTAAAGTTACTTTTAGTGCCTATACAAATGCCACTTTAAAACAGTGTTCAACAAGCGTGTATTTTTTTATTTGTAAGGTGGTTACTGTTTAAAAGTATCAATAAAACTAAATAAAATACCTAGGCTTCTAGTTTCGAACAGCATTGAACCGTGGTTTTTAAAACAAGACAACCTTGAACTGATATTGGTCTCATTAAATTTTTTGTTACTACCTAACCACATATAAGTTATCATTAAAACCGATATTGTTGTTATTTATTTATGTTACGTGACATATTGATAAGGTAGGTTACGTATTTTAGGTAACCACACTCCTACGTAGATTATTTCTTCTGTACAGCTTGTCTGGTTTGGTAGTACTTCACTAGTAATCAGACTTTTGTTTCAACTTTGCACCTATTACAAAATACATAACGTGCCCCTCCCCATTTACCTTGATGTGGCATGATAAAGGCCGATTCACACATATCAGTGAAGTCACAGTTCAGGCTCAGTACCGGCACAGTGCGAAGTATTCTTTCATACAGTTTCTATGAACGCATCCCCACTTGTCAGTGTCAGTGTCAGTGACGACACAGTGTTCTCAGTGTCAGTGCCGACACCGGCAATCACGAACGTATTCGTTGACGACGATATTTTTTGTCGGATCAAGGACGCTGCCGCGGCATCAAAAACAAAATAACTTACTTCATAGTTTCTGAACAAAAATATTGAAACAGCTCTCTGACATTTTAAAATATTAAAAATATTTCACTGACGCAACACTGTAGCACTGATACTGAACTGAGCGGACACTGTGACGGAACTGGCTTCACTGATATGTGTGAATCGAGCTTAAGTGTAAGCTATAATGTTTGTGTGCAGGAGCTGTGCTACTCAAAAGACGGGCGCGTCGTCTGCTCGCCATTCGGGCGCGGTATGCGCCTATTAGCGCTAGACGACTCATGCAGCGAACTTAGCTCGTTAGCCTGGAGCGAGGGCCGAGGAGGCGCGCGGCCCATGCGAGAAGCGGGCCAAGTCCTAGGGCTCCACCAGGACCTAGTCGTCAGCTCCAAGTTCAACCCTCGTCACCACATGCTCGTCACCGGCTGCCTCGAAGGCCGCATCGTCTGGTACGAGCCGCACAGCGGCGAGTCCATGTATTAGTTACTTAATAAACATCTCGTGTTTATGTCCTGTAGTTTTTGTGACGAGTAGCGCGGTAGCTGTAGATATTGCTCTTGGATTTCACCACTTTAGCGATTGACTTTTTACTTCAGTTGTATGGATTTAACGATAAACAAGACACCACCAAAGTTCGAACACAATGTCATATCACGTATCGTTGCGTTTGTCTCTGACGTGCGACACTGTTTTTCTTACAAATAAAAGAAATAGCACATGGATTCACAGACACTGATCTCAAACATAGCAAAAAATAAGACAATATTATTGTTTGTCTGACATTTAAGTTTATACATATTTTTTTAACTGATGATAAAAAAATAGGTCTTAATTTAACGGAATCGAAATCATAGACTTTTACTGAATATTGTACTTAGTAGTTTTTACAACATAACCTTTTGCAATCAAAAGAAATGTTTTTGTAGTTGATTATACCGTCTACATCTCTAACCAAAGGGTTTATAATTAATCAATGAAAGCTATAACTTGGAAATATGTATAATTTATTTAACAAATTCATCTACAGTTCACACTTACTCAATATACATGATCTCTTTGCAATGAACACTAGCACAATATTAGTAGAGTAGGCTCACTTTCATGAAAAAGTTCAAAGACTGGAGTCTTCATAAGATTTTGATGCTATAAAAGGCGAGTATTTCCAACCCAATAAACTTAGGATTTTGGGAGAAAGCTCACCATAAATTCAACTCTAGCGCATCTCTGAAGAAACGCTAGGATATTAAGTTTTGTATGTCATCAGAGTGAGCCTAAGCTACCTATTTCGGGGGTGGTTTCAAACGTGACCACCTTCCTTGAGCTTAGACACCAAGGTGTCCACATCGGGCAACACGGATCCGGCCTGGCGCACGGGCGGGTCCTCCACGGAAACCACCTTTATCCTCGGCGCCAAGTCGATGCCGAGGTCCTTGGCTGTCACCTTCTTCAGTGGCTTCTTTTTGGCTTTCTGAAAGTAAGCAATAGCTGCTGTAGTTGATGCCACATTCGCTGTTTTGAATGAGGACTATTATTACAATGAATGTAACGAAATCTTGTTATAAATTATCGGAAAATCACTAACTTGAAACTTGACAATTTTATGGCACACCTTTTTACAAGAAATACGTGACAATTTGTTTCTATTTGTTTGTTGCCATTCTCCAGTTATAAATATTGCACATTGCACAGCATTTTTAATAAAATCAATCATGATCGCAAAGCAGTCTTGAAACGTTCCTCGTATTTTAAATTGAATATTTCGGATCCATATGACATGAAAATGACATATGTAGATTTTAAATTAATTCAAAATATTCACCTGAAAAATGTTTTTACTTCATACATGAATTTTAAGAGCAAAATAATATTGACTTTTTAGACTGAATACTTATAAAAACAATTTTCTTATTTTTAACATGATATTTATGTAATAGAGTAATAATGTATGTATCTACCCCATAATAATTATTACCACTGATTGTACGCCCTAGAGGCAGAATATGTTAGTCCATAAGATAATATTTTGTAAGATCTTAGTTCTGCAATAAATATTTATGATAATAAATCATTATTATGGTTTTTATATTTACAATGTGGCATAATTTTAATTGCTAAGCAAAAGCAATGTGTGCTTGTAGACCACCAATTTTTTTTTCAAGTGTTTTACGCTGTAGCTTAGAGCCAGCGTAGTTTAATCCAGTACCGAATGTCTTTGTAGCTCCCGGCAAGCGAAAGGTCGTGGGTTTAATTCCCATCTAAGGCAATCCATTTTTAAAACAAACTAACTTGAGATGTATATCTTAGCGTAGGCGTAGACCACCGATTTTTAGTTGGCCGATAGATAGTTTATTTGGGTAGTATAGGCATGTATGGAAGTTTGCTTACACTGATTTGCTGATTCTTCATACAAAATAAAGGGTGTCCCTAAATTATCGAAACTTTTGAATTAACTAGAAAATATAGTTTTTAGCCTTTTGACTGTATTATTTTTTATTGGATCATAAAGTAGGTACATAGTATAGGGTTATTAATGGAATAACACATCGAGCAAATGGCACGCACACAGCAACGCACTCGTTTGTCGAACTTTCCCATGACCATTCTGCTTAAATTAATGTGGCTGAATTTCGTTGACGTAACGTTGAATCTCCTCCTTTTAATGGTTGTGGGCTTGTTGACATAGACCTGTGATTCAAAGAATCGATCCCAACCCAACTATCGGCCAACTAAAAGTTGATGGTCTGCGCCTAGCCTAAATCCAAATTCAAATGTCTGTCAACTCACCATGATGTTGGGCAATGTGGCATATCGAGGCTCGTTGAGGCGCAGGTCTGCGCTGAGCACGGCCGGCAGCTTTGTCTTGATGACTTCCAGCCCGCCGTCGATCTCGCGCGTCACCGTCAGGCCCGCGTCGGTCTTCTCTACCTGATAAGCGAAGAGTATTACATAAATAAGAGGCTGACAAATTGGCTCTTTCTTCGTTAAGACCGCGCAGTATACTCCACTGTTAAGCAATGAGGAATGTAGCCTATATACCTCATCCGAATTTCGGGGTGGCTAACACCATCATGCGGGCCCATTGCGAATCGGTAGCGTGATGCAAGTGTGATTAGGTAGCAAGTAAATAGTCGCGCTGTATACTGGTCTTTAATGTACTAAACATGTTTAACTGTAAGAAAGTTGCTACAGCTGTGTACAGCACGTAATGGATCTGGATAAAATGATGCAATGCATAAGTTACTGTGGTACATTTTTTTGTTAGTATGGTCACAATTACAAAACTCTCATTTTGTTAGAAGGATGATAAATTTATCAAATCTATATATATAAAAGAAAGTCGTGTTAGTTACTTCGCTTATAACTCAAGAACGGCTGAACCGATTTAGCTGAAAATTGTCAGGGAGGTAGTTTAGAGCCAGGAGAAGGACATAGGATACTTTTTATCCCGTTCGAAATTAAAAAAAAAAGTCTGCTTATTTATTGCCATTAAGGCGGAACAAAGTTCGCCGGGTCAGCTAGTAATTTATAAAACTTGATTGTTTTTTAATGAGTTATTACAATGTGATAAGATAAGTAACATTAAACTGTTACTACAGCTATACATAGTTACCATTTCATTTCAAATTAAAACCACATGTATGAACTCATCTCCTCTTTTTCAATACATAATCTACTCTACAGCTTGTAATAAATTCCAAACAGTGAAAGTAAGGTAAAAAATGTTATGGGAGAAACCTAAATAAATAATAAATTTTATGAAGAAATAATCTAATATATAAAAATGAAACCCGTTTTCCGTTGTCACGACATAACATGAAAACGGCTTGACCAATTTGGCTGATTTTTTTTTTGTAGTTTTCTAATACTCTGTACAAGGTTTTTACGGAAAAAAATATAAAGAAAATCTCTACGCTAAGGCGGTACGAAGTTCGCCGGGTCAGCTAGTAGGAAATATTTTTTGTTACATTAAAACAAAACTGACCTTGCATATTCAGATAAGAAACAATAACAGTTAAGTATAGGTTATCTATTAAAGTTCAACATTACAAATGTGATTTATTTATTGGCTTTCCGAACTTACTTTGGACGCGAATGTTCCCTGTGGCCAGTCTAATATCGCAGCAGTCATCTGTGCGGTCTGGTTGGAATCGTCATCAATTGCCTGAAAAATAATTTAAAGTTAGCAACAGTAGGATGTGATGTATTAACTTACGTAACTAGAAATAAAACAATACCTACATATTTGTGGAATTAATTGAGGAAGTAATAGAAAAAATAAACATCCAACAAAGACTACACTAGACCCAAAAGTTTCATAGTAATAAATTCATACTATACAGACAAACATATTTCATTTTATTTATTTCAAAAATCTAAGGTACACTCACCTGTTTTCCAACAATGATAATATCAGCTTTCTCATCCTGAGACAGTTTAGCCAAGATTTTAGCTACATGAAGGGGCTGGAGGGTCTCGTACTCTTTACCGGCTACTTCCACATGGATGGCTCTGTCCGCACCCATGGCCAATGCTGTTCGGAGGGTTTCCTACAAAGTTAATTCATGTTAATCGTAAGCAAAGCCTTGTAGATTTTAACTTTTACAACTTTGAAATTCTTTTCTGTACAATGCTGCTCCTGGTTTGATAATACAAAAAAAATGTGACTATCCCACAACATTTAATTTGGATTGTTGTATTAAAATAATTTCAATACAACTCTAAGCAGTTGGGTAATAAATGAGAAGGTAACAAGGACAGATTACTCTTATGGTTTTGGTACATAGTTTTTGCATGCCATAATATTGGTAAAATGTGAGTACTATAAATTATATTTTGTAATAATTGTAACACCTATGTCAACCACATTTTAAGCAAATAAATTTTATTATTATTCTCTTTATTAACTTTGGTTCTTAATTTTAAATATTTTTTTACAATGTAAATTATCAAAAAAAAAAAATAAAAATTATTATTATTATTATTATACACTTCTTGATTTTTTCTCCACCTTTTTGGGGTGGGTTATTATATCTGTTATGCGGGCCTCAGCCAAGCATAACAGCGTTGAATGACGATATGTCCGAGGACAGGAATTTACGGGTAAGACGGCAGGTGTTTAAAATTACGGCTTTTTGTAGTAAGTATGTCATGTTGTCATTAATTTCCAGAACTTTAAGACTTTTTGCTAATGTTTTGGGTATTACTCCTGTAGATGATATAACTATAGGTACTATGTAAACAGCATTTGCTCCCCATTGAGTTTTCAGTTCTATGGCTAAGTCATGGTACTTTGTAAGTTTTTCTGAGATGGTTGTTTGTATATTATGTGTATTAGGAATGGCAATATCAATTAGGTATACGGTTTTTTTAGATTTATTATGTATTGTAATGTCAGGTCTATTGTAATGTATGGTTTTGTCTGTGATTATGGTGCGGTCCCAGTAGATTTTTAGTTCGCTATTTTCGAGTATGGTTGATGGTGTATATTTGTAGTACGGAGATTTTTTTGGGATAAATTTATGTCTGTGTGCTATGTATTGGTGAATGATAGCTGCTACTTGGTCGTGTCGATGCTTGTAGTCGGATTGGACCAGAGATTTGCAGGCGCCGGTGACATGCTGAATGGTTTCCGGTGCGCTATTACATCTTCGACATAGATCCACCTGCAATTCTTTGGTGATGTGCTTGCGATAGTTACGCGTCGCTATCACCTGGTCCTGTATCGCGAGCATAAAAGCCTCCGTTTCAGGGAATAGCTCGCCGCGCCTCAGCCATGCGTTCGATGCTTCCTTATCGACATGGGGTTGACTGAGGTCAGCTTTATGCCTTCCGTGAAGAGACTTTTGAGCCCATTGCGTAGCTTTGTCCTGATCAAGTGAGCATTTTTCATTTGCTTGTGTGTTTTTGTCGTGTAGGTTTAGGGGTGTCAGCTTGTTATCTGTTAAAGTAAGGTTNATGTTATTATTATTATTATTTGATTTTCTTTGTCTTCGCAGTCGCGAATGTTGAAATATTTCGGTAGCTACTAATGACGCCGCAGCCATCCTCATTTTGTACCGAGCTGAGTAAACGTTTAGCGAAATGTATTATTTCCGGATGGGCCGGATCGTTCGGGCCGGAGCACCCACGGCTGATTTATCCTCCCTTAGTTATTTCCCGGAGGAAATGGCAGGGCTAATGCTCGACCACAATGATGGCAATCGACGGAAACATAAATTGTTGCTCAGGACATATCAGAAAGTAGACAAAATAAAAGTCAATTAAATCTTTTATTAAGTGTAGTGTGTGTGTATAAATATATATACTTCACCAAGCTTTTAAATAAAATTGAATTAAAATCGTTAGGACTATGGAGTTCCATTAATTACATAACTATACCTACCTAAGTTCATTGGGACTTCATTTTTTAAACTTAAGAAAATAAGATATAATTTAGTGTACCTAAATATCTGTTTAAAGTTAAACCAATAATATAATTGTTATAAATAATTTATAACAATTATAACGTACCGTATAAAGTAAGTAATTATTAAGTATGAAAAGTGCGAGCTCTTACGTCAAAGAAAATCTGCTAAAACTGTTGGAAATATTTTCCAAACTTGGATTATTATAAGTGTCAGATTACCTAAGCTTATGCCAGTAGCTTTTGGAAAATTAATTCTTAGCTTTCTTTCTTTCTATTTTATTTCACTTAAGCATCCACATCTTAATAAACTACCTAATAAGTAATTGAATGGTTTGAGAGATGCGTTAATAGAGTCAGTCAAGTCAGTTTTCCTGATGTTTGCCTTTTTAAACATTACTGAAACATTTTCACAAATTTAATACGAATAAATTAATATTAATAATGTACATTCTCAGAATACGGAACAACTGTATTCTGAGTGTAAGTACATTGTATTTTGTATTCAGCAAACATGCAAATTTTAAGACATGTAACGCCATCTACTGGTTACCTATTCGCCTTTTCTGAAAGCACTAATGCTTTTATCTACCAGACAGACTGTCTGAGTACCAGAGTGAACCTAGATGGCGCTAGCTATGAAACACATTTTCTGACTGGTTTTTAATTATAAAAGTTTCAATGATGTGTAAGAAATAAATAAAAAAACAATAATGAGAACATTTTTCTCATAATTAAAGTACCTAAGTAAAGATAATTGCCAATTATTGCCAATTTATTGTGTAAATGGCAACAATTATTCCATTCATTCATCGTATCGTATAGATGACCCACGCTGAACTGTCCCACCAAACTCAATGACAGGGGGGCGCTACCATCGTTCAACTAAATGGTTTCCAACATGCCAAAAATCTGAACCAGCGATCCGGTCTCGGAACAATTATTGTTCCGAGGATCCGGTATTGACGGTGGCGCCCCACTGTCAATGTCATCGACAGGACAGTCCAGAGCAGTGGTGCCAGATTAGGCGAATTATCGCCATTTAGGCTACCTTAGGGGGTCAAATGGCGACCAAAAAATGCAAACGGCTACCGGTAGCCATTTAGGCTACCTAGAAAATAAGATCGGGCTATTTAGGCTACTTCAGGATTACCTTGGAAAAATAAACCCTTACCTAGTATTCTGTAATTCAGTTAGATTTTTACAATGACCCCTACCCCCTTTACTACTCTAAAAAGTCCAAACTCCTTACTAAATCCGTCAATTTTTTTCGAAGTATCAGCTCCATACAAATTACGTTTGAAAATTCGGTTATTCGGCTAAGCCCTTTGCTACACCCTAACCGTATTTATGTACATAAATAATAATGATCAAAATCTGTTTACTTTACACATTACCGGTGGGCCAGCTGGTATTCTATACAATGGTAAAATATTAATTGAACAATAATATTTTTATACATTGATTACGCGCCCCAGGCATTGATTTTATACATTGACTAGGGATTGTATATTATTAGTATATTGCAGCCATGTTGATTTCTTAAATCTTGTGTGTACTCGGCACGAGTCAGGTAGTTAGTGACGTCACATAAAAATGTTGCCAGAATGAGTAGGTAGTAGTAGACCAAACATTATCTACTTGTCTCTTTTTTCATACGTCACCATGAGTAAGTTAGAAAGAGATAAACAGCTGTTTGTCATTAATGTGTCGATTTGACATGTATTTTTGTATACTTACCTCAAAATGTTAGGCGAATTAGGCTACTTCAGGAAAAAAAAATATATTAGGCGATTTAGGCTACTCGGTAGGAAAAATTAGGCGATTTGAGTTAGCTGATATCTGGCAACCCTGGTCCAGAGCCCCGATTACGGTAACTTTTAACGTCAACAATCCAGACACGCTTCTCGATTCTGCGATACGATTGGTCGTTCAACAGCGTACGTCAGCTGTTTTGACCAATCGTATCGCAGAATCGAGAAGCGTGTCTGGATTGTTGACGTTAAAAGTTACCGTAATCGGGGCTCTGTATTTTGGAACTATAACCATGAAGCTATGATCGTAACCAAACTACTCACTCACTCATTCCTATTTCTTCGACGTTCATTCAATTTTCTGTCAAATTCCATCAGTCAACCAAGTGCTGTCACTGTTCGGTTGTGTTTTGTGTTATCGGGACTTACAATTAGATTAAAATATCGTTAATTATTAAAGATAAAGAATCACAGACTGATTAAAACCATATAGTGACATCGCTTTAGCGTTACATCAATTAAAATGAACGGATAACAGCTGTGTGACAAGTGAAACAAATCGATACAAGTGATCGGCCGCTCGTTAAAAAGTGTTCCAGGGTGTTTTCTGAAAAGCGGTAGTGAAGTGATTACTCGCCGTGTGTGTTCATTACAATAGTTTGACGTGTTACGATTTACCGGTGTGGATACATTCGTTTTGGTGGCATGGCTTCGAAGTGAGGTTCTTCGAGTAGGATAATTAAAGTGTCTGAAAGTTCATCGCACATCAATGGATTGTTAGCAGGTGAGCGATTTCATGACGGCTCGGTAAGCGATAGCAGAATGGAATGCAGTGATGTGATGGCGTGCTGGGTTGTTGTTGTTGGCCGGGGTGCAGACGGACAGTTATCCGCAGGCAGCGTGCGGCGGCCGGCGCGGCCCGCGGGGTCATCGACGTCGCCGCCACACGCCGCGAGCTTTCGATGCAAACATTCCTGCCTGTTATCACTCAATGTCGAGATCTTTGTCGATAAACTATTGCAGTATCTTAAACCTTCATTTAACTGAACTAAAAATTGATAAGGAATGTAAATAACTGATGGGTTTGTAAACAATGACTGAACCCTATAATCTTAATGTTGCTGCTTTTTCTATCATTTTTTTTTTTGTTATTTATTTGCTTTTACATTTTTGTGGAAAACCTTGGAGGAGGCCTTTGTCCAGCAGTGGACGTCATTTGGCTGAAACGAACGAACATTTTTATACAAACATTTTAGAAGTAGTGACTCTTTTATATTTATGGTATTTTTTCTAGAAATGCTTTAACCTTTAACCGACGACGTGATTTTTTTGTCACGCCGTCTGCGACGTGCGGTCTGTGGGACCGCTATACTGTTTACTCAAAAAGTAATGNGTAAGGTTGTAGTAAAGTGGTATTGTTTCGGCTTTTTTGTGAAAAAATTTTCTTAATGTAGTTATCTGTCTGTTGTGCAAATTTTTTATGTCAATAAGTCCTCTGCCTCCCTCATCTCTTGGGAGGACGGTCCTCTGGATACAAGATTTTGGGTGATGTTTCCTAAATTTTGTCATATGTGTGTTTATGTTACGTTGGAGTGTGTCTAATTCTGTCTGTGTCCAAGAGATGATACCGAAAGAGTAAGTGAGTACCGGAATAGCATATGTGTTGATTGCCTTGATGAGGTTCCTGGAACTAAGATGCGTTTTGAGTATAGCTTTAAGTCTTTGCTTGAATTTATCTTTGAGCTGTTGTTTTGTTTGTTTTTGTAATAGTTGTCGTGCTTGATAAAAACCTAAATACTTGTAGCTTGTGTCCTCGTTCATCGCTTCTATTTCTTCTCCTGTTTCAACAAAGTATGGGTTGTGTTGGACTTTACCTCGTTCGACGGAGTTATTATTATTATTATTATTATGGCTTCACTCCAAATTTATATGCAATAACACTATACAGATGAATATTGTGGTTTTGATAAAAGTGTATGTGCTAAATAATTCTACACACTTGTGCTTGTGCGGGGCCGCATGACACGGCCACTACCTCACTGGCCAGTTTCTTCTCCTTCATGCGGACCGCCTCCTCCACGGCGATCTCGTCGAAGGGGTTCATGGAGTGCTTCACGCCATCCGTCACCACACCAGACTTGTCTGGCTTTACACGGATCTGGAATTACATGATTTTATATCAGAATTAATTTTATAAAGCGCAGTATTTCTAGATAATTGTGCGAGTTGGTTAAACAGATTACTTAAGTGTATTTTAGTGATATTTGAGGTATTTTATACAACATTCAATTTGAACTTGAAAATTTGTAAATATATCAACCAAAAAGTAACCTTTGAACAACATTTGTACTTACTTTTACGGCATAATCGATAACTCTCTTAACACCAACAAGCACACGAGACATTTTGATTTATTGACTTTTAACTACACTTAAAGCTTAATTAATTGGAATAAATTAAAATTTTAAAATTAATAAAAACAAAATCCAACAAGTACGAAGTCCATCCGATGACGTAAAAATGTTGCCAGGATTAAATTTCAAATTCCCTACCAATTTCATGTGTCAACGTCAGATCAGATGTCATGATGCTCATTGCTCATGCATGTGACATGTACAGTTAACGTTTATTAGAAATTAAAAAAAAATACAAATATCCTAGTTTTTTTTACATACAATTAATTTAATTACATAGGTTTTTATAACTATCATTGTTTTAAGTAATGAAGGTACCGCATTTAGTGGAGAGTTTCAATTAATGGCAATTCTCAAAACTCTCGATGTTGCCAGCAGTGAAAAAAATACAATTTGTGTACAAAATGACATACTAAAGATCGACGTGGCTTTTTGATGATTCTCAAAAATCTTTGTTTACTTAATTCAACAACAGTCTCCAAAATAAAGGTTATTATGAGTTGTAGTTGTAGATACTGTCAGTGCGTAATTTCTAATACTTCTGTACTCCGCAGGCAGACAGATTCATGAGTATGGTGTTTAGGCAGATGTGGGATAAAATAACAATAAACTTGGTCTTAATTCTAGATTTATTTTACTTAGTATAATAATATGATTATCTCTCTTAAAACTTGAACTCTTTGTATTTCTTTGCTTGTTTTGCGTCTGTATTCTGTTGTCTCTTCCGCTTGTTCTGTAAATAAAAATGATAAAATATTAAACACATATTAACTTTTGGGTAGTATTAAAACGAGTGACTGTAAATTAAAGTTTTAAGTGTCAAAAATAATTAATTTAGGTTATAGTATTACTAAGTGAGCGACTGACTGCGAAAGATGAGAAATCAACAGAACAGCAACTAACAAACATTAATTTGAGGTGCTTAAAATACACAATGAGATGCTTCTTAATATTTGAGTGACCTAATATTTGTTTGAGCGCCAACGTTACGTCCTGCATTATTTTCAATATTTGGCAAATGTGTTTTTTATACTGAGCGGCATTTTATCTTAAATGAAGTGTTTCAAATACAAAAACCACTGAAAAATACTACAATGAACAAAGTATTATGAGCTCACATTAAAAATGATATTTGAAGAAACACTATTATATTAGCCAAGTAATTATTTAAATTTAAGGGTAGGTAATGAAATGAAACTAGTAATAATAATATGCATTTACATATTATATCGAAATAACAAAACAAAATAAGTCACTTCAGTCAACTTCAAAAAGTAATATCATTAATTGTATGGAACATTGATAGGCATAAGGAGCCCTACTATTATACTCATCGTCATTGGCAAATAAGTGCTGGCTTGGAATTAGCAGGCCGACCTTGTTTTCTTTTTTGTCCAATGGGAATCATTTTTGCTTCTAGTGGTAGTGTTGTTAATTTCTGCCGAATTGCTAGATCCAAAACGTATCCATATCCATTGTCTAAGCTCAATATTAGGTGCCTCAGGTAACGTAGAGGATCCTAATGACTATTGGGCTACCATATAGGTAGCAACAGACAGAAATCGCGACAGAGGAATTCTCTTATGAAGTTACTTCATTAGAAAACATATCAAAATAAAGAACATAAGACCTCACATAGAATATCAGTAACGAATAATCATTAATAATGCAGCTTACAAAACTTTGCTGGAAGTGAACTTTTTAGTTGTTCATTGGAAATAACTTCAATTGGAAAAAATCGAATCTATCTTAATATTGAAGTTGCCCTCTTTGTATTTCTAGTCGCTCACTTAGTAATATAATCGCACGGACAGAATTTTAATATCTAAAATGGATTAAACATAACCCACTTTTTGTAAGCTCGTTCTGCATTTGATTTTAATCAATATTCGTCGTTAGTTAAGTTAATTTTTCGCTTACTCAAATTCATACCGCTCAATTTGTTAATTCAGTATGCCATCATCAGTCGCTAAATTATTTTTTAGTCGATCGTTTTATAATTCCCCTTAACTTTTTAACCAACCCTCCTGCCAAGCGTGGGGATTATGGCAAAACCCTCTACTGTAGTGGAGGAGGCTCATAGTCCAGCAGTTGACTGTAAGGGGCTGTTGATGATGAACTTTTTAAGTGATGTGTTGAGTGTGGACATGAGTCATTCAGTGGTCATCTAGTTATTACGATCTAATTTTAATTTTCGAACAAATCAAAAGAGAGGATATGAGATTGATGTCAGTAGCCGTACCTTCTGCCTGGCCACGTGGTCCGCCAACATATCGGAGAGGTCCTCGCGCGCCTTCGGGCGGTGCTCGCGAAGGTGCCGCTCGTAGCGCGCGGCCACGGCCTCGGGCTCCAACTCCAGCTCGGACGGGTCCAGCGCCACCTCCACGGCGCCCGGGCCCGACGCCGCGCCCGCGCCCGCCTCGCTAGTCGTGCCTGCGCCGGCTGCTGCTCGCTTGCCTGTGGGAATTACACGTTTTATTCAAGATTTAGTGGGCAAGCTATAAAATTTATTATCAGTAGTTGATGATTACATCAATATTCAATACTTATGACCATAATTTGTATATTTTAAAGACTTGAAACCCTTAAAAAAGGAGGGTGACAATAGTGACTGAGTTTCTTGCGCTGCTTCTTCTCAGCACTGGCCCATTTATTGTCCCGAAGCAGTGGTAGGGTCAATACTGGGACGTGTAAAAGTGCTTTTTAAAAGCCTATTTGCAAAAATAAATGAGTTTTTATGAGTTTTTTTATTAGTTAACGATATTTTACCAAAGCCGCTTTGGGCTATAGAGGTAGATAATACATACAATAGATTACTCATCTTTAGACTAGCTTAAATTTACAAAATCTTATTTCAATTTGTGTACAAAATGTAATATGAGAGATGACAACACCGTGCTATCGTTTGCGGCTAGGATTCAACGAACGGCTGGCCCAAAAGGGCTTGCACCCAGAGCCGTAAAGCAAAATATAAAAAATAAGTTTGCGGCTAGGATCATTATTTAAAAAAAGTTGTTGCTGGTTTCTTTACCAGGATCATTTGTATGGTAATAACGACTTGTGACTGACTTATGATTGTCACGAACTTAAGTTTCATAACGAAAACAAGTTACGCTAGTTACCTGGGTTGGCGGCGTTGATGTCGTAGACGTGCGTGGACGCCATCATGCCGGCCGTTAACCCCACGCGCCGCTCCGGCAGCACCTGGTACAGCGCCGGGGTGTCGCCGCTGCAACGATACAATTACTTTACAAATGTATTCATTAATCACTCTAATTTATATCTCATGATGTGAAGCAAATAAAATAATCGTAAGTTTCATCTGAAAAGTAGCAACATCGCATTTCATGACGCATAAATAAAGCTTTTTTGACGTTTTATTGCTAATGACGAGTGTTAAAAATCAATCGCTATGGAAGAGCCTTGGGTATGGTATTTTAGTCCCGCAGGCCCTCAAAAGATACTGAACCTCATGATAGAGATACGACTCGGAAGCAAATTGTAATATAGCGATAATGACGATCACAATAGATCGCAGCCGCACTCTCCTCCTCGCCCTAGTTGCCGGCCTCTTTTCGTTATTTCTACATTTCCGCTCCGCCTAGCTTCGGTTTGGAATTTTGCTTGGTTATTCAAAACAACTCCTTTGTCCACTTTGGTGGAAACCTGAAAAGACNGAAAACGTTTCTGTAATATTTGCTAGAGTGAATAGTTCTTCTTTACTGCTTCCATACAACTTTATGTCATCCATGTACATCAAATGAGAGAGTGTCTGGTGATCATGTTGACCTGAAATGCTGTATCCTAAGTTAGCTTTGTTGAGCAAATGCGAGAGTGGGTTTAATGCCAGACAGAACCAAAGTGGGCTTAAGGCATCACCTTGGAATATTCCTCGTTGTATTCGGATAGGTTCGGTCGTTAATGAAGTACTATTATTATTATTATATATTAAGATCAGTCCCCGCTCGTCGTAAACACACGGGGGCCTGACGCTGTAACCACATAACGAGGCACGATCGGCACCTTTCACGCACTGCTCGACCCCTGATCTCTCACATTTCTTACACAAACTCCTTTATTTGTCTTGTTCTTATTGTTCTTTATTAGGGTCTTTATGTAAAAGCAAGTAAATACTAATCAGATTTGTATTATTTCTTTAATTTTGTTACTTACATAATGTTTAACTGTGTCTACTATACGTACAAAAATGTAATTTTAATTTTATTCACTAAATTTTTTTTTCTTTGGCTTGACTCTGCATATAATACATCCGAGATATGTTCAATTGTTCAGGTTTTAGTTATGTGAAAATATCTTATACAGGGTGTTAGGTAAATGGGTATATGAGCCGACACTAGCCCATGTTAACATGGGCATATAAATGGTATAGTGAAGTCAGAAAATTGATATCTCTATTTTAATTATTTTAATTTTCATACAAATCAGATTTTATAAAATTTATTTTGTATGAAAATTAAAAAAATTAAAATGATGATATCAAATGTCTGACTTCACCATACGATTTATATGCCCATGTTAACATGGGCTAGTGTCGGCTCATAATTATACCCATTTACCTAACACCCTGTATAATTTTCTTAACTTAAATATGCTAACGCCTAACGCGTTGATGTCTTTTGTATGACTGGCCTTAAGCGCGCACTTCAAGGAAGGATTTTATGTACTTATACTGCAAATACGGATGTCATGGTATTCTAGATGTAACCTAAACAAAGGTAAACAAAGGTAAACAATACTGCGAAAATTCCTCTCGTCCTTTAACGGAAAAACCGCTTAGAAACAGGAAACTTTGGAACCGACACTAAATGTTAAAATTATAACAGAATAAACACAAAATTAACTACGCGTGACTGCGGCCAATTATGGTTTCTTGGGCTAAGTACACACAGCTATATAAACCTTTTATTTCTTTTTATATATAACCTCGTTATTTCATAGTAATATTATAAACCACGGCTTCTCTTAAACTTCAGTGTGTCACGAAAATACTATTTTTTACTATCGCGCACGTATAACCTTTGCCCAAAACTGGGATAAAGTTTTTCCAGGTTCTCAAATTGTATACCACATGTAAATAGGTTCAGAGATTTAAGCGCGAAATGGTAACAAATAGATAGGCAAATATAGTCAATAAAGCATTATAGATGGAAAACTGTAGAACACAATTTCTGACTTCAGGACTAGGCTAAGGGCGGGGACTTTTGCTATGTTCACCACCTAACTAGGCTAAATAAAGTCCCGAGGTCAGAAATTGTGTTCCACGGATTTCTCTCTACACCGTCGTTAAGGCATTCATTGACTGGACTATAAGATGAATGCGAAAGCTTTACCTTAATCTTTTACATAAACTTTTTTAGCATAATATCAATCTTTTGTAAAAAAATCTATAAATATAAAACTCAAAGGTGACTGACTGACTGACATAGTGATCTATCAACGCACAGCCCAAACCACTGGACGGATCGGGCTGAAATTTGGCAGGCATGACGTAGGCATCCGCTAAGAAAGGATTTTACGAAACTCGACCCCTAAGGGGGTAAAACGGGATCCACGCATACGAAATCGCGGGCGGCCGCTAGTGTCTTAATAAAACATTACATATTTATCGCACCTTCCCGCCAGTCACAGTGTGCTCTGAGCCTTACACTTTGTGAATGATTTAAGTAAGTGTTATTGTTTATACACGGACGCAGCAGATTGGCGATACGATCGCGAGAACTGCCGAAACTGACGGATCGGGGAAACAAAGGCGTGCCACTGAACCCGCTTTATTATCGATTGTTGTTCATTACGTCATTATAAAGGCTGAGATGGATTATTTTTGGGAAAAAGGTTAGGATAGGTCGTAAAAAAAGTATTGTCTCCCTGTGAACTCCTTTAAGTAGGTAAGTACCTACTCCAGTTAGCCACTAAGCTAAATATGCTTGTGTCACGAGTGAGCCCACCACAATAGTCGAGCGGCGGAGGGGACTGAACCAGCATTCCCCGGATCACGAGTCAACCAGTCCTACCCCTTCACCATTCGGCTATCGTGGCTTTATTAGTTTATATTAAGAGGCACAACGGTTCAGTGATCGACTAATTTTAACTAAACAAAAAGAAAGTGAAATAATAATTGTAAGTAATCCCAATATTAACTGGGAACTAGATCCTACCATTGTTGCTCCATTTCAGCCAGTACAGTTTGACCACCAGGCTGAAGCTGACTATCTAAGCTGACCCAAAAGTTATAGCTGACTAACTGGGAAACAGCAAAAAAAATAATCAGAATTAATTTTCTTCGGGTTAGAGCTCAGATATTTTAACGGCAAGCGTTGGGAGTATTTAACCCGAATTCTCCATTTTTCTCTGGTTAATTGAAGGGTGTCTTACAGTGACTCCATGATGATGATGATGATGATGATTAATGACGGAGGCATTTTAGTTTTTGTTCTATAAGTTGCACGTCAGCAGCAATTAATTCCAAAATTCATGCAGGTATATGAACTCGGTAATTTAGATAATAACTAATTTATTCTTTCGTCAACGTTTTTTACTACTTAATTTTCGGATTTCCCCGCTTAAAATGAGTAATATATTTTGCTTAGATTTAGCGGTAAGTGATATAATTCACATCTTAATTAATGAAACAATGTAATAAATAAAATAAATACGAGTATAACCACAGAATAATAATAAGTACTGTATAACGTTCAATTATTAAGTTAAAAGTAAGGGAAATTATCAAAAAAATAATTATTTTAGAAGGTGTTAATATTAATAACTATCTAAATTATATGAATTTATTACCTACATACTTCAGTACAGATAAACGCGCCTTTTACATTAGGCGTAAAGAAATCAATCATTTGAAGTCAATGATTTATATAAGTAGTGACTGAGTGATGAAGGTATTATTTAGTAACACTGTGTAAAGTCTATGAATAACTATGACTTTGACAGCTCCTAAAAAGACAATTGAATCACGGTGTCACTAACCCTATTTTTTCAAGGTTTCAGTTGTTTGATAAAACGATATTATTCATAATTTTCATCATTAGATTATTATTCCTATTGCACGGATATGATCCACTAGGCCATAAGCAATTACAAAAGAAGCTTTCAGATGAAAGCTCACTTTCTTTATTTACGAGCTTTTATGTAGAATTAACTGGGATTTCAATTGAATTGAAAAGGTGATTAACCCATTAACCAATAATTTTCAAATCCTAACTTCCTTAAAAGCTTTTCATTTTAGCCCTGGAAACCGAGTTAGTTTTCCATTTTCTTTGAGTTACGACTACAGGTATAATCTATGGAGAGTCGCATTTTGACATTTCATAAAAAGTATGTTGATTGACGGTCTTTGTGGAAATCCTTGGGGAAGGCCTTTGTCCAGCAGTGGACGTCTTTCGGCTGAAACGAACGAACGATTGTCTTGTTAACAAATCATAAACTATCACAGCTTCGCTCGCTGTCATAATAAACTTGGTTTCTACAGCTGATTGCACACCATTCGTATTCAAATATCGCAAAAACTATTGATTTATCGAACATAATCGATCTAGATGAAAGATGAAATGAATTGCTCATTCAGTGAATGTGTTTATGTAATCGTTGCACAAGACACTTGTAAGTAAATTATAATTACGCGACTTTCACTGCCTTTTGCACTACTTTACTTCTAGATGGTGATTATTGGAAAGGAAGGATATAATTGAGTCTGTTCACGATACTACGTTAAAACCTTGCCTTTTTGAAAGTTATTTTATATTTAATAAGCCTTATAAAATAACAATCTAACATGGAGGCTAAGCAGTAATTATAAACAACCTTAATTGTTAAAGCTAATAATAATTATTCTGTCCAATTAATGATTTAAAGTCGAAGGGGAAGTCTCCTTGATAGTTTTTTACTTTTCAGTAATAAAATTCCTGTTGATATTATAAAAACTAGCTTTCCGCCCGCGGCTTCGCCCGCGTGGAATTTTGACTGTCACAGAAAAACTTTATCGCGCGCGTCCCTGTTTCTAAAACCGAAATAAAAACTGTCCTTGTCCTTTCCCAGGACTCAAACTATCTCTATGCCAAATTTCATCAAAATCGGTTCAGTGGTTTAGACGTGAAAGCAAGACAGACAGACTAGAGTTACTTTCGCATATAATATTAGTATAGATTGTTTAATCTACTGGCAGCAATTAATTATTGTCATTAGTTAATGAATTCCTAGATGTCATTAGCAGATTTAGTTTGAATTTTGATAAGTTAAAAGTTAAACCATTATCCAAAAGAATAAAGTTTGCAATATTTTAAAGTGATATTTTTTTGATATAAATTATTAATTAATATAATAATCCCACTATACCTTCACATTTACCACACGATGTAGGAGAGAAGAGACCTTATAGAGTCTATATTTTGAAAATTATAAATAACTTGAAAAAATCGAACTGCTTAAGACGGAAATTGAACCCA